CATACTTCTATCATTGACAATACGAGGTTTTTCCACTCTTTTCCTCCTGATTAGGTCATTATTATCTCAGTTTTTAATTTATTTTTTGGGTTTTGCAAAATGAACCAACTGCAAAAACTTAAGTGAGGCATTTAAAATGATGACCAATACTGCCAGGGCTGTGCAGTAGTTAGAGCTGTTGCCTTGCAGCGAGAAGGTCCTGGGTTCGTTTCCCGGCCTGGGATCTTTCTGCATGGAGTTTGCATGTTCTCCCTGTGCATGCGTGGGTTCTCTCCGGGTCCTCCGGCTTCCTCCCACAGTCCAAAAACATGACTGCTAGGTTGATTGGTCTGTCTAAACTGTCCTTCGTTGTGTGTGTGTGTGTGTGTGTGTGTGTGTGTGTGTGTGTGTGTGTGTGTGTGTGTGTGTGTGTGTGTGTGTGTGTGTGTGTGTGTGTGTGTGTGTGTGTGTGTGTGTGTGTGTGTTTGTTTGTTTGTTTGTTTGTTTGTCCTGTGTGTCTCTGTGTTGCCCTGCGATGGACTGGCTCTCTGTCCAGGGTGTACCCCGCCTGCTGGAGATGGGCACCAGTCCGACCCTACGTTGACAAGCGGGTCCAGCCAACAGACGATGGATGAATGGATGGATGGTCAATACTGCCCTCTGCTGATTGTTAGAATTACAACAGCAGATCTCAGAAAAGGTCGTGTTTAGTCAGAACTGTTATTTATAGGACGAATAAAATTACATTATAAAGTGATCTGATTAAATTCAAATAACTAATATTAAAATATTTTAAAATGAAGTTGTTTCTACGTTTCAGCTGAACCAGCTTCTGTCTGGTTCCCATCAGCTCATAAGGAGACGTGTTTATTTTTCGTGTCTGGATGATGTTGCACCTCTGGCTGAGGTCTGCCCGTGTTTCTGCCTCAGAAGCTGCAAACAGCTGAGCAGCAAGTGTCTCTGGTAGATATTAATGTAAAATGAACATTTGCACTCTTAAACTAAAGCAGAGGAAAGGTTAGAAAAAAGTAACAAATGCAGAGACTGTCATTTCTTTTCATTTAAGATGTGTTTCAGTTGAATTATTATTGATTCATTCATTTTCTTATGTTTTAATTGCAACATTTTACTCATATATCTTTGTGACCTGTTAAATATCTGCCATGGGGATCACCCTAGTCTTGGTGTTTAGGAGGATGTGAGGGTGATGATGGTGTGTATGAGTGTATGTAAGCACTTTGACTGCATGAATGACTTAAATGGTTAGCATTTTTGATTTAGCTCAGACAGTTTTCTAATTCTGTACGTATTGTTTTTATTATATATGGGATCTTTTTTCATAATTGTTTTGATTGATTAAAAGTGAGTTTTAAAGATGTGTCTGTGACATAATTGATGTAATCAAACCCTGAAAGGATTCCAAGTTGACTTTTATGAAAATGTTCCCTTGTGTAAAGTAAAACAGTTAAGAAAAAAAACAGAACCGTGTTCATTTTGAAAGACTGTTCATCGCTGTTAGTTTTAACTTACAGTAAAAAAGCTGCTCCATCATTATGGGGTTTAATGTTGACTGCAAAAGTCTGTGGTTTAGACGAGCTACAGTATTTCTGAAACATAAAAACAAAAAATATATTCAAATGGTAAAAAAATGGCAAGGTTCCAGACTTCCATAACTTTTTTTTTTTGCTGTTGTGCTTTTATTGTGAAAGTTTTGTTCATGTACAGGCACATCTCTAAATATTAGAAACCATGATCATCACAAATACAAGAAATAAAAGTTGAAGTAAACAGTTTTTTCTACATATTCTAGTTGTTTTAAGATCAATTTTACGTTTAGTGTTTATTTTTTATTTTGATGTTCACTGGTTTTATTGTTTATCCAATAATAAAATTCAACATGATTAGGTCTAGTTTATTCAAATAATGCTGTAATACTAGTCAATCATGACTGGCTCTGTCATGCTTTACATATCTGTGCAATGTGTGGTATTCTATAAAGTTTATTACTTTGACTCACCACTCCTGAATCGTTCACTCCAGTGTCACACCCTGTCCTGTCTCCCCATTCTGTTCAGTCATGTGTCTCTGTTAATTGCTCCCACCTGCCTCTCGTTTTCCAATCACCCAAGCTCCCAGCCCTCATGTATTTAAACCCTCTCAGTTCTGTGTCTTTTGTCGGTTCATTGTTTCCATGTCCTGCGTGCGTTTGTCATTAAAACCTTTTACGTTATCCAGTTTGTCTGCCTGCCTGCTTCTTCACCCGCGTGCGGATCCTCACCTCCGCTTCACTCACCAGCACGCCTGACAGTCTGCGGGTCAATCTCCTAAACACAGAGTCCAAATCACATAAACAATAAACCTGAGGTTTTATTTCCTGTCCTAAAGGCAATTAGAATTTCATGAAAAAAATGGATTGTTAAATCTGATTTTGAACAAAACAACCTCATGTTTTACAATTGTATTATAGCAGCTGCATGTAATCAGTTAAGATAAATTTTCACCCCACCATGTTTTACATTTTAATTTCATATTAAGAGGATAAAAGGTGCTCATTGGGGCGCAGGGCATACATTAAAGCACATGAAATTCTGAAGCAAATAATAATTAAATACAGCTTCCATGCAAAGACGAAGCATTTTGTGTTGAGAAACTGAAATATAATTATGGGCTTGATTCTTACCAAATGACAGGTAAATATATATTTATCTTATATATATATATATATATATATATATATATATATATATATATATATATATATATATACGTAACGATGGGTAGTTTACATCTTACTTATGAACCATAAAATGTGACATTCCATAGAAATATGAAACGTCAATCTGATGGATCTTTGAATATTTTAACCAGAAGATCAGAACTTTTTATTGCAGGGATTAAGTGACACTTCGTATTAACTCAGAGGAAAGAAAGAGAGTCAAGTTTAAAATAGTTAAGAAATTTATTTCTACACAATTTAAACAAGACTAACTTTAACACTCTGTGCACTGATGGACTAAGGTGAGTGAGACGTGAGATGATGGTGTGTGTGTGGAATGTTGTTATCAGAGCCAGCGGATCCGGAGAAGCAGTTAGTTCTGAGTGGGAGTGAATGTTCCACTTTAAGCTATAGTTGGAGATTTATAATACACATGAAACACCATCTGTTTCGTCTACGTACCCCAAGGGAAGCCTCTGTTTAGATCCAGATCCTCTTGGACCCTCCTTGGAACCGAAGCCGATAGAAAAGCAGCGGTGCCGACCAAACTGCTTCCAGGTCACGACAGGTTATTATTGGCATAAGCGAGACCCTGAAGGGGTCATGAGGTTCAGCTTTTATTCTGAAGGAACCGTTGCGGTCAGGTGTAACTTGCAACAGATTTTATCCGGCTTGTCGAGGTTCTTTTTGGCTGAAGAGGAAGTCCGGATGGCCTGTCCGAGACTTCTCTAGAACGCTTTGAACTAAAGAAAAGGTGGCGTGGGCTAGTTTTTATAATTGTCATATTTTGGTTTACTGGCGAAGCAGAATTTGACATGCAAAAGAGGGTTTATACAAACACCACATAAAACCACGCCTCGCGTCAGAAACGAAGGTTCTGATTGGATCAGACAAAAGGAAATGTGTCATGTGACTTTAGCATTACGTGTCATCAGTGTCTAGTGCAAATGTCCAGGATCCAGGGTCATAATTACTTGTAAAATACTACTGATCACAGGATTATAATATCAAGTAATTACATTGTCATTTCACAGATTGATTGAACATTGGGCTCACATTATTATTGGCAATAACAAACATTGTTTGATTATGTATTTATCAAGAGAGTTCTTCGTCTTCGTCTTGAGCTGTATATATATGGTGAAGCAGTTTAGATGAGCAGAGTGCATGAAAGACCTTGGCCAATATCTCATGTAGATTAGTGTCAGAGACTTTATGTCTCCGCTCGAGGAGACGCAGCAGGTGATAAACATTTCAACATTCATATATATATATATATATATATATATATATATATATGTATATATATATATATCTTCATTTGAACCCTTTTATAAACATCCACATGAAAATTTGTAGTTTTTTTCTATTGTTTTAGTTTTTTATTTCCTTGAGTTTTGATCATATTTTATTAACATGCTTACATAACAAAAAGTAATTTCTCCATCCATTTGCCTCTGAAATTTTTATTTGACTAAATATCACTTTATTTCTCTTATATCAAAGCATCATCAAAATTAATCCTAAAATGTGTTTTTTGACTATGTCTGTCACGTAATTTACAATTTATTAGCTCGTAAAAATTTAGAATTGAATTAACTATAAATCAGGCGTCGCATATATGATGCCACTGCAGAATCTATTTTCCCCCAGCGTATGCTACTTATTACATGGCCAGATTTATTATAGTGGTTTTCTTCACATTTAATGCTCATTCTTCCGGCCTGGAAAAGGGATTCAAAGCTCGCTAAACCAATCTTCTCCTCTTCTCCATCTCTGGTCCGGTGACGTCATTTTGGTGAAATGAACATTTGTAGTCCGTTACATCTTTTCACACAAAACCTAAACTAACTTTTGCCGCCGTTGTAATATAAACACTTTTTTGGCATGAAAATGTGTCTTTAAAATCAAACAGGATTAGAAAATACTTTTTATCTTCTCATGGACTCCCATTCATTTACTCTGGCATTTGGAGACACACACACACACACACACACACACACACACTATATATATATATATATATATATATATATATATATATATATATATATATATATATATATATATATATATATATATATATAGTGTGTGTGTGTGTGTTTGTGTGTGTGTGTGTGTGTGTGTGTGCGTGTGTGTTTATATATAAACATAGAAACATGTTTATGTTTATATATAACTAATAATAATTTATATAATTTATATATAAATGTGTTTATATACATATCTATAGTTGGAGACTCATGGTCCGGAAGTAGATGGGCGCGACTTCCATCATGAAAGTGGACCCTCCTGCCTCGATGATGTCATCGCTACAAGGTGAGCGCTCGGTAGCCATTTTGTTAGCTAGCGTGAGGGTTAAATAGATTAGCTTGAGCATTTGTAGGTATTTCGTGCGTGAATTTGCCCCAAACATCAATTTACCGATATTTTCCTCGTCTTCCGTACACTCGTAAAGCAGAGAAAGTCACGTGTATTCTTTATAGCTAAAACCGCGCGAAGTTGTATGCTCATTCATTTTTCCAGCTGCCTTAAGTTTGCTAGCCCATTAGCTAGCTGGCTAACTTGTTTACGTCGATGGTTAAAAACGTTAAGCTTTTATGACTGCCAGTGTTTAAACGGTACGTTCATTTGTGGAGAAGGTATAAAAAAAATTTGTTAGCTTTCGCGTTCCGTTGCGTTTGCTTGTTGTGAAATAGCGTTTGAAACGGGACCGATACCTCAAACGAACACAACTTCAGTGTTAATTGAATAACTGCTCATCTGCTAATACATTTGGACCAGCCATGTCAGAACTGTACATTCGGGTGGCTGAGGATGAAAACGAGGAGCCCATGGAGATCCCCTCGGAAGATGATGGGACTGTGTTGTTATCATCGGTGGCAGCTCAGTTTCCAGGGGCTTGCGGTCTGCGATACAGAAACCCAGAGTCACAGTGCATGAGGGGGGTTCGGCTTGTCGAGGGGGTCCTCCACGCACCCGAGAGCAACTGGGGAAACCTGGTCTATGTCGTCAATTATCCCAAAGGTGAGACGATCACGCTGCAGCAAGCAATTCTCTAATTAAACAAGTGTGTAATAAAATAGGACGTGTGTTTGCCTATGTTGCGCCTAATAAAACCATGGGTTTAAGTGAAATTCTATGTATTATATAATGTATCATACTGCTCAGTATCATGTAGTTGAGCCTCCATAAAAAGCACTATTATTTGCTTTTGATGTTTTATTATGAGATTGCTAGATATGTACAGGATATCATCAAAATTACTAGGATAAAACATTTGCTTGTGACAGACAAACGCAAGCATAGATTGTTGAACAACTGTCTTCTAATGTTTTTTTTCTTCCTTTTCAATCAAACGAAACGACTGTTTGCTTATCAAATACCAAACAGGCAAACCCATCAGACTTTCCTCATTTTATCATTGCAAATATTTTTCTTATTTAAGTTACTAATTACTCTTCACAGATAATAAAAGGAAGATGGACGAAATAGATGCTGCCTCAGCTGTGAAAGTCAAAAGGGGCTTTCAGAAGACATCAGATCTTATTGTCCTCGGGTTGCCTTGGAAAACATCCGAACAGGACCTGAAAGATTATTTTAGTACATTTGGGGAGGTCATCATGGTGCAGGTACTGGTGTTTCTGAATGTTTATTAATCATTCTCTGTTAGTCTCATACAGTTTTAATATCAAAGCTATATTTTAGTGAGATGTTAAAATTGTGTGTGTGTGTGTGTGTGTCTGTTTGCTCCAGGTGAAAAGAGATGCAAAGACTGGGAACTCCAAAGGCTTTGGCTTTGTCCGCTTCACTGACTATGAGACACAAACTAAAGTTATTGCTCAAAGACACATGATTGATGGACGATGGTGTGACTGCAAACTTCCAAATTCAAAGGTATGCTGAACTATTTTGTTAACTCCTTAATCTTCAAGTATAATTGATATCATATGAAATGCATGAATTTAAAATCTGTTTTAAGTGATTCTGAACTGTTTCAACTTAATTGGTCTCATGGTTAGGCCTATATGTACTCTCAGGCATGTCCCGATGAGCCCATGCGGAGCCGTAAAATCTTTGTTGGTCGCTGCACGGAGGACATGACAACTGATGATCTGAGGCAGTACTTTATGCAGTACGGTGAAGTCACTGATGTCTTCATTCCCAAACCGTTCCGGGCTTTTGCATTCGTCACATTTGCTGATGATCAGGTAAGAGTTTTCAAAATGTGGTGATTTTATTTGATAGATTGTACAAAACAATCATCGGTAGAACGCTGTCATAACTTTGCTCATTACTCATAATTTCCAACAACCAGAAAAATTTACATTCCAGTAAGTTAATTTCTCTGGTTATTCCCAAAGCTCGCACCTCCTTTGGCCACTCCTTATTCCAGTTTGCTGCTTCCAGCGACTGGAATGGTCTGCAAAAATCACTAAAGCTCACTACCTACATTCCTTTATCTACCTTTAATAATTCACTGCAATCAATAGTTTTTCATAGTGATGGAGAAACTAAAGCTTTCCAAACCACTGAACCAATATGAGGCAAATTGTTTGAAATGGTTCAGTGTTGTGAAACATTTGAACCCTATGAAATAAATGACATCTGCTGGCCAGTCTTAGCATGGAACACATTGAGTGTGGCAATAAAATTATGTCCAAATCTGTCAGTTTCTGTCTTTTAAAATCTTATTCTAGATATTTTTTATATAAGATAATATGTGTATGTCAGTAGACATATCATCTTATGTAGTTGTGCTACAGAGTGACTGTCCCAGCAAGAAATACTATACAGCAGCAGGCATCGACTCAGAACAGGGGTGGGTCCGAGAAGATGACCTCTGTAATCTCATTCTTCATTCTAAACATGGGGATGACTACAGCAGACACTTTTTCTCCCCTCTTAGCTCAGTTGTAGCTATTTCCCTGATAGCTCGCTTAGCTACTGACACGTGAAATAATGTGTTTGGGTATCTGTAAGTTTGACTGAGTTTGTGCTTGCTAACGTCAATCAAACCGCATCCAGATGTTGATCAGTTGTAGATGTACAACTGCTAAGATTAGAGGTGTATCTGTAATTTATAGAAATGGAAAACTCCCTGGATTCCCATTCCTCTTTTTTTTCCTCAGGTTGCCCAGGCTCTGTGTGGAGAAGACTTGATTATCAAGGGAGTCAGCGTGCACATCTCCAACGCTGAGCCCAAACACAACAATAGTAGGCAAATGATGGATCGAGGGCGGTTTGGGGCTGGTGGGTTCAGTCAGGGTTATGGCAGTAGTCGTGGTGGGCTAAGCAGTAGTAGTGGAGGGGTTAACTTTGGGGCTCTGGGTCTTAATCCAGCCATGGTGGCAGCTGCCCAGGCAGCCTTGCAGAGCAGTTGGGGAATGATGGGCATGCTGGCTAACCAGCAGGGCCTGACCACAACAGCAGCCACAGCCTCTACAACCAGAGATCAGACCTATAGCTCTGCCAGCACCAGTTACAGCAGCCCCAGCTCAGCTAGTCTTGGATGGCCTGCAGGCACTAACACGGCCTCCAGCAGTGGCTTTAGCTCTGGCTTTGGCACATCTATGGATTCTACTAAGTCCTCTAGTTGGGGAATGTAGGTAGCTACAAATAGATCTTTTCTGTTACTCTTAAGTTGGTCTGGTAAGTATACCTACATGGAAGAATGGCTTATATCTTCTTTTAAACAAACTAAAACACTTTACTAAAGCAAAGATTTCTACTTGTGTGACATATAGTGTAGTCATACATGGGGTGAATGGAAAGTTTAGTTAGTAGGATCCGTCACAGTTTTAGTTTGAGAGAGTATGCAACAGAAAGATGGCCGTGCATGCATTGTAACTGTTTATAACATGCACGAGTTTCTGGAGAACCCTCCTACCCACGCTCCCCCATATGTAGTTCTATGTATTGAATGCTTTGCTGTATTTTTTCATTAGGTTTGTTTTTGTTTGATCTGTTTTGGAAACTCCTTCATGATAGTTTCTTCTGCAGCTCACCACCTCTTTCACAATTTCCCGGGAGGAATCGCATCATTGGCAGCAATGTTCGGCAGATCTCAGTATCAGTACCCCTCCTCCCATGTGTAAATGCATTATCATCCAAGAGCGCAGCTTCACTCTGCTTTACTGTTTTAGACGGTGGGTGGTCTTTGTTTTTTTTGTTCCTTTCTCTCCCCCCTTTTTTATTTTTTTGGGATATAGAAATCTTGTATGCTCCTGTCGCTTTTTCAACTCGATGAGTGGGGTTGGTGTTGGCCCGAGTGAGAGTGAGCGAACGGGAGAGCAAAATGAAAGAAAGTGTGAGAAGAACTGTGCTGTTTTCCCCCCTCAAAAAGACATACCTGGCAGAGTTGAGAAGAACCTGTGGCTTTGTGCGAGTGTGAGAGGAAGAAGCAAGTACGAGTGTGTTCACAGTAGCCATCACAAAGACATGCCAAGATCCCTAAGTTCTCCGCTTTCACACACCATTTTCTATCAACCTTAATTCTTTAGAAACCACAGTGAAATGTCAAGTGCGCTGAATATTTGTAACCTTTTGTGGAGCTTTGCTGTCTGACTCGATGTGGATGCTGTGTCTGTTTGTGTGCTTCATTTTCTTCTTGTTACCACCCTCTGTGTGAAAATGTGACTTTGTGTTAGTGAAGTCTGTGTGGGGGAGAGGAAACAAAGTATTTACGTTTGGAAGATGCTGTGGTGAATGTTTGAAAAGTTCCCGTTGAACGTTTGTGTTTGAAGTGGTTACGAGTGCATTTTTCTATGTTTTGTGAATCCAAGGGAAGTCTGAAATAAAACGTAATTTGACTAGATATTATACCTTCTTGACAGTGACTTGTTTTTGACTTCACATTAATTGAACTGCCAACACTTTAATTCACATGTATAGGACCGTCGGACATGGAAATCCCAGGTTTTCATCCGAACCCTGGTGGAAGTCAGTTACACGGAAGATGAAGCCGGAACAATGGAAATTCTGCACAGCTGCCTTAAGCCTGAAAAGGATCTTCGTCACCTCACTACCAAGAAACCTTGGACCACTAATTTAGGGTGGACCATGCTAAATTAAAATCTCTGGAGGTATATTTTTTATTATTTACACAATTGGGACGATCGATTTGTTGCTAGCTCTACTGTCCCCAAATTCTTCCGTTCTGTTAGCTGCTATATTTGTCAGTAAAACTTGATTTTTACCTCCCAACAAACAAGGACTGATGGCAAAATTTGTATCAGTGTGGCAGGTAATGTTAGCCGTTTGACTTTAATTGTTTCAGAAAGTGAGCTAATTGGAAAAAAAACTAAGGACCTGACTAAACAAGCCAGCACAAAATTCCATGTTGTGTATTGAAATCTTAAAATCTTAATTGTAAAATAAAAGTGTTTCTTTATCTGTGGTCTCTTAATGTTGATAAACATGTTTCCCTCTGAGATCAGATCATTTCTGTTATTTTTCATGTCTTTGCTTTGGGGGCAGATTTCAGCTCTGGGCTGATCTGAGGGTGCAGCAGCATTGAGCTACCTGCAGGTGGCGCTTTTGTACAGATTCTGTTCTGAATTTATGTAATGAGTTTTTTTTTCCTCATCCGGAAGTTGAGAAAATGTAACGTAGAACATTTAAAGTAGTTTTTTCTGTTAATTAACGTCTATGTGTTTGCAAAATCTGTTATTTGGTTAAAAATTAGCTTTAAAATATTTCTTAGTAATTTTCTAATCTGTTGCAAAAAAAAAAGGGACAAAAATAGCTGTAATGTTTATTTTCTGACTGATCAAAGGTGACTTACCATAAACATAACCGTCACCAGTAAAGTAATTACAATTTTATACCATTAAGTTTTAAATATGAACCTTTTCCAGTTTTAGGACGTTTTAGTTGCTTTCTTCCTGTATTTATAAGGTTCAATTGATCATCAATCATTGGTTTCACCTTCAGTTTGAAGTGAAAGCTGATTCAATATTTCCTCATTTTTAAATAAACATGTTTTCATGCAATATTTGTAAAACAACTAACACATTTAGGCTGCACACTAAAGATATTTGATCTTTTACACATCTTTGTATAAAACGAGTGAAAATAAATCGGATTATGTTCCAGTGGGCCTGTTTAGTTTTCATGGCTGCAGCCTGTTGGGATCACTGAGGATCTGTTGCATAATTTTCCATTGATAGTTTTAAATAACCACTCATGCCAGGTTAAATGTATTCTCGCTGATCAGCCATAACATTATGACCTCTTATTAATTTATAACTGGAAAATCCACCTTTTACACGTTTTTGATGCTTTCCACCTTAAACACGATGTTTTGTTTGAGCTCCCAGAGCATAAAGACCAAGCTAATTATGAAGGGATTCAAATCTTTATTTAGCTTGTTAAAGCAGGGTGCAGTGTTCACCTTAATCCAGTGTTTACTCTGAACACTCAGCCCAACAACAGGTGATTTAGACTAATGTCCACCTGAGTCACAGCCTCTCTACTGACTTGCTACTTCAGAAAAGACTTGAAACTGCATGTAATCTCTGGTCACACTTTATAAATAAAACGACAAGTCTCTGATGTCAAAAGCTGGATGAAGTTATTCTATTGTCCGGGTCTTAAGGTGGAACGTGTAGCATGTCTTCTGCAGAAAACACCACCTTGATTTTCCATCTCATTTGTGTTTAGGAGTGATGTAAAGATTAAGCGTTGTAGGAGGAAGAGGAGACGTTTCCACCATGGCCCGTCCAGTTGGTGTGGATGAAATGTCCGGGTTTAGTTAGCAGCTCGTATGTGTGAGCACCAAAATAGTCCCTCTGGGCCTTAAGAAATGCAAACAACAAATTAAGCAAGACAGGACTCATTTCAGTCTTGAATTCCATGGTCAGTCATTATTTGGGCAAATCTTGAAAATTTTGCTTCAAATGTAGTCAATTATTTCAGATTCATATTCTAAACAGTTAAAAAGGGGAGGTAGTTGTAAATGTACACCTGTACATGATGTTTTTAATCACTTCCACTCCCCTGAACTCTGGTCTGTTCTGTAGCAGCGAGTGTTTGTTACCTGCAGCAGGTTGGCAGGAAGCATGTCGTGTCTGTAACCGTCGTAGAAGGACAGAGCTGTGGTGAAGCAGGGCATCGGGATGCCGTGCTGCACTCCCACACCAACCGTTCTGCGCCAGGACTCCTAAAGCAGGAGTGTAAACTCCGTTATTAATGTGTGTTCATCGAGACAAATACATTTATGTTAAATCCAGTCAAGAAAAAAGGCCTTTTCACTGACTATAAAAAAGAAAGGACATGTTTCTGCCACACACACTTTTTATTATCTGCTGGATCAAAACTGAATCTGATTTCTGAATCATGAGAAAAAATATAACCTTCTATTTAAACTTTTGCATCTTAGACAGTTGATTCAACAAGCTGTTTTGTGGAAAAAGGAAATCAGAAGTTAAGAGACTTTGTGTTGTAAGTTTTTGAGTCTGACCGCTTCCTCCTTCCTCTCACCTGACAGTCTTGCACAGCATCACAGAAGAAATTGTCCAGCAACAAGTTCTGCAGCTCAGCGTCTCTGTCGAACGCTTCTTTGATTTTACCCAAGAAAACGCTGGAAGAGAGAAGCAGCTGATTGTAACAATGGCTCATAAAAAACACCTGCTAATACACTGCAGCTGGTTGGCTGCGGACTGCAAGTCAAGTCTAGGTTTGTTTGATTTAGATTAGTGCAACTTTTCACGCCGATTACAGAAAGCAAACCGGTGTTGCGATAGGTCCTCATTCTTACATCCATCAGATTTTACAAGAAAGCTCATTGTTTCCTTTTATATGAACGTCTCTTTCTACACTTCAGCCTTACAACAGAAGAGTGACACAGAACTTCCTCTATGGCACAACAACCAAGTTTCCTCTTCTCAGCCTCAGAAGAGACATCTCAGAAATAAAATCTTATGGTGCCATTATTCTTGATATTACAAAAATATACATATTTTTGCAATAATATGTAAAGATAGAGGCACAGAAGTCAAGTTAACTTGTGTTATTTTAGTTTTTTTAAATGAGAACATACTAACCTTCTGATGATGCACCCTCCTCTCCACATCAGAGCGATCGCGCCGTAGTTAAGCGACCAGCCGAACTCTATGGCCGCTTGCCGCAGCAGCATGAAGCCCTGAGCGTAGGAAATGATCTTGGAGGCATAGAGGGCCTGGAAATGTAAACAATATGTATTCTAGTTAGGGATGCAACGATACCACTTTTTCCAAACCGATACGATACCGATACTTGGATCTGAATATTCGGCGATACCGATTACCGGTATCGATACTTCTACCACACAAAAAAAATGCAATGATTTGGAATTTTATTTTCTTCTCTGCTTTCAACAGGAAAAGGCTGTGAGGTAGATAAAAAGTAAAATATATGAGTAGAAATCATCACAAAACTAAAATATTAGGTGAACAGAAATGACAAGTTACAGTGAAGCCATTTTCAAGCAACTGCATTGGTATTGGTCCCTGGTATCGGTTAACTTTTACTGATACCAGTATCGTATCGGTATCTGCACCGATACCAGTATCGGTATCGGTGCATCCCTAATTCTAGTATAGTTTGTTATTGATAAATAGAGCAGACTGTGGCATGTAGACATCTCATGTGAATAGTTGCTTTATGATTTCATCCTAAAATGGCATAAATTTAACAAAACATTAAAACAGAGTGGGTTTAACCTTTCTGATGTCCTCCAGAAACGTAGCCTTGTTGCCGCTGAATTTGACCCCCTGCGGTCCTGAGAGGCTGCGGCTGGCCTGAACCCTCTCATCCTTCAAAGACGACAAGCATCTGGCGAAGACGGCCTCCCCTGAGAGAGAGAGAGATGGGAGAAAACAGATAAACACGGGTGGACATGTTTGCATTTGTCCCACAAAAACCAACAAACAGCATAGCAAAGAAAGACGACATGCAGGATAACGCCAAAACATTGAATCAGCATAACTCAGCATTTTTTCTAACCGTTTTTAAGGCAAGGCAACTTTATTTGTTTAGCACTGTTCATACACGGAGTAAATCTATGTGTTTTCCTATCCTGATTTAGAGGAACAAGTCTCTGCACATCTTTTTAGTGAGTTAGTTCCTGGGTTTGGGAGTTCTGGTTCTGGGTAAAACATGTCTGGTTCAGACAAGTAACGGAGATGCATCTAGACCCAAAACCAACAGTTTTAGATCCATCCTTTCACAAACAGGAAGTTGATGTGGTTATTGCAGGACTGGTGAGATGGGACCCATTTTAAACACTCCTACATTCATCTAAGCTACTCACGAGTAGGGAGCAGGTATGGACTTTTTTTTCTGTTTCCCATTTAAACATGAAATCCTCATTCTGAGCAACAAAAGAAGCTCATCACTTACTTCATTAAAAAAGCCATACATCCTCGCCCCTCTGAATGAACAGAAGGATACCAGATCAGTCAGCATGACTTGCAAAAACTGTCCGGTCAGATGATGAAAGACAAACTGTCCCAGTTTTACTCTGAAATCCACCCATGCATGCTGCTCCATGTTGGCTGGACCAGTACACACAATGAAACATTTTGTACAAGCGGCGCCTTTAACAGCTTTGTGTTGGTTAAGAACAAATCTGGTCATTACTGGCCTTTCATTAGCTGATGTTGTAATCTTTTTAAGGTGTGGTATAAGGCATTCTTCTTATCATAAGGAACTAAACTTTCTGAGAGCAGCACTACCAGAAAAGGAAAGAAACTAGATACTTCCGTGTGTAAAAGCTTTATTTCTCCTACCAATCAAAGTGACGGGCGTGCCGTACTCCAGGGCGGAAATGGCCGTCCACTTCCCCGTGCCTTTCTGTCCAGCGCTGTCCCGGATTTTGGGCAGCAGATGTGCGCCATCGGTGTCTCTGTATTTAAGGATGTTGGCTGTGATCTCAATCAGGAAGGAGTCCAGCTCCGTCTTGTTCCAGCTATCAAAAGCCTGAGAGGATCAAAGTCAGTCAGCCATATTTGATGTTGTATAAAAATAATGTTTTGACAATCTCACCTGTGCCATCTCATCGTGGTCCATCCCCAGAACATCCTTCATTAGGTGGTAGGCCTCACAGATCAGCTGCATGTCTCCATACTCGATGCCATTATGGACCATTTTTACAAAATGACCTGCACCTTCATCTCCAACCTGCCACATAATATCATAAGATCTAACCAGGAACAACTTGTTAAGAAAACAGGCAAAAATGCTGCACTCACCCAGTCACAACACGCCTCTCCTGTTCCAACCTTGGCAGCGATGCTCTGGAAGATGTCTTTAATGTGCGGCCTTGGCATCGGTGACATCAAATGTTCATTTTTATCAGTTTTACACAAATAAACAAATAAATCTCTACTGATCGTTTTCATGACTCACCAGGCCTCTTTATGTCCTCCTGGCATGAGTGAGGGTCCGTAGCGTGCTCCCTCCTCTCCACCACTCACTCCGCTCCCAACAAACAGCAAGCCCTTCTCTTTCAGACTCTTACACCGACGCTGCGAGCAACAACCACATAAAAAAGGTACAAATATACACACAGGTAAACAAGTCTTTTCTGTCAAAAAATGAACCTCAGAGACTTACTGTTGTGTCTCTGTATTCAGAGTTGCCGCCGTCGATGATGATGTCCCCAGCTTCTAGAAGAGGAACCTGAGAAAGTGTAAATAAGTCAGTAAATCAGAAGTTCACTAAATGTAGTTTTACAGCAGTTTAGCACAAACCAGTTTGTCAATGAAGTCGTCCACAGCCTGCCCAGCCTTGACCAGCAGGATGATCCTCCTGGGCTTCTTCAGCTTAGACACCATGTCCTCCAGAGACTCAGCTCCGATCACCTTGGAGCCCTTTGCCTCATTCTGCAGGAAGTCGTGCACCTTGGACACGGTTCGGTTGTACGCACAGACCTGTTGGACAGGCTAAGCTCAGCAAGACAAAAGAAGAGGAGTGGTACCCGATGGAAGTGTAAACACACAGGAGTGGAGGTCTTACCACAAAGCCATGATCGTTCATGTTCATGATGAGGTTCTGGCCCATGACAGCCAGACCAATCAGTGCGATGTCTGCTCTGTGAACACAAATCACATGTACTCAGAGGGCCCGATGGGCGCGTGCCAACAGGTTCCCTAACGGAACAGACTAGTAAATCTTCTTTAAAAGGATTATGATTTCTTTTTGTTGTTGTAATCTTAATCATAGACTTTTAAGTCAACCTGAAACTTCACTTCATTTCACAGAGTCCATAGCGATTACTCGGTAGGTCACACCAAGTTCAGATTCCACGTTAAACGTATTTCCACTCAAAACAAAAGATAAACACCTACACAAGACGAACAACAGCAGGTAGGCTAACTGATATAGCAGCTACCTTCAAAAACAGACGAAACGACTACGAGCGAGTACTACTAGTTAACATGTTCACCATCTGAATCAGTTCAAACTTACTTAGCCATCGTGGTATCCGAGTAAAGTGACGGCGAGGTAAGAAGTGTCTAAATGACAGTCGAGCTCAGACTCCAGTTTTCTGCTTCACTTTTCCTCGCTCGTTTTTTTTACTTCCTCGTTCCCGATTCTACGCGAGTAAAAAGCTTACGCACGCCCACGTACAGGATCCACCAATCAGAGAGCGCCTAAATGACAACCCACCTTCTCTTCGTATTCTTATTGGTCCAGAGCACTGAGCAGAGGAATCTCCTTTCCTATTGGTTGTTTTTGCAGGCGCAGCAGCTCTAACAGATATGCAGGTAACAATGGATTTATAAATCCACAAAGTGACATTGTATTAATAAATCCCACGATTACATATACAATAGTTATCTTATAGGTTTTGTTCAAGAAGTTTCTCACTGATCTCACACCGTTGTAGGTGTGTGGAATATTCTAATTAGTTTTTTCTCCTTCCCATGTAACTTTCTTTACTTTTAAAATCTTTTTCAACTTTCTTTTATATGTCGAGACTCTGAATGAATGCAAACTTCTTTTTAAACACATGTTAAAACTAAGCACAGATTGGTTAATGACTGAAGTTTATTTTTTGTCATTTTAACACTGCAAGAAAATAAGTTGGAGGAAGATCAGTAGTTTAATAAATCCTGGGTTTAGTGTATATTGCACATTAGTTGTCGACCTAATAAGAAGGAAATGCTCGGAAGCACTGAGGTGCTTTTGGGGATTTATATACAAAAGCTTAATCTTCGAGATTTATTTTACATCGTTGTTTATATGATACCCCTGGTAGGGTCTACCATGACAAATGGGTCTTAGGTGAAGGGTGAGACAAAGAACGGTTCAGAAGATCTTTCATGGACGTAAAAACAAAGAGTCGAGTACCCGGCCTGGAGGGTTACCAGGGTCCCACCCAGGAGCCAGGCCTGGGGTTGGGGCCCGTGGGCGAGCGCCTGGTGGCCGGGCTTTTGCCCATGGGGCCCGGCTGAGTCCAGCTCGAACCGGATATATGGGCTCATCCAACTGTGGACCCACCACCCGCAGGAGGAACATGAAGGGTCCGGTGCAATGTGGATCGGGTGGCAGACTGAGGCAGGAGCCTTGGCGGTCCGATCCCCGGACAAGGAAACTGGTTATTGGGACATGGAACGTCACCTCGCTGGCGGGGAAGGAGCAGGAGCTTGTGGCAGAGGTTGAGCGGTACCGGCTAGATATAGTCGGACTCACCTCGACACATATGTGGCTTGGGTTCCAGGTGGCTTACTATAGCATTGGCTCTGAAATCCAAGTTCTTGAGAGGGGTTGGACACTCTCCTTTGTTGGAGTTGCTCCGGGTGAGAGGCAGAGGGCTGGGGTTGGCTTTTTGTTAGCCCCAAGACTCTCTGCCTGTGTGTTGGGGTTTACCCCGGGGGACGAGAGGGTTGCTTCCCTGCACCTTCGGGTCGGAGAACGGGTCCTGACTGTTGTTTGTGCTTATGGGCCAAATATCAGTTCAGAGTACTCACCCTTTTTGGAGTCCCTGGGACGAGTGCTAGATAGTGCTCCATCAGGGGACTCCATTGTCCTGCTGGGGGACTTCAACGCTCACGTGGGCAATGACAGTATGACCTGGAGGGGTGTGATTGGGAGGAACGGCCCGCCTGATCTGAACTGGAGTGGTGTTTCGTTATTGGACTTCTGTGCAAGCCGCAGTTTGGCCATAATGAACACCATGCTCGAACATAAGGATGCCCATCGGTACACTTGGTACCAGGGCAGCCTAGGTCGCAGGTCGATGATAGACTTTGTAGTCGTATCATCTGACCTGCGGCCGTATGTTTTGGACACCCGAGTGAAGAGAGGAGAGGAGCTGTCAACTGATCACCGCCTGGTGGTGAGTTGGATCAGATGGCAGGGGAAGATGCCGCGTAGACCTGGCAGACCCAAACGCATAGTGAGGGTCTGCTGGGAACGCCTGGCAGAAGAACCTGTCAAGACGGTCTTCAACTCCCACCTCCGGCAGAGCTTTGACCGCGTCCCGAGAGCAGTGGGGGACATTGACTCCGAGTGGGCCTTGTTCCACTCTGCAATTGTTGAGGCGGCTGTTGCTACTTTGGGCATGTCCTGCCGGCAGGAGGCCTCGACCCAGGACACGTTGGAGAGGTTACATCTCCAATCTGGTCCGGGGACGCCTTGGAGAGGACGGCCTGGAGCTCCCTAGTTGGGATGCTGCCCCCGCGACCCGGACCCGTAAGCGGAGGAAGACGATGACGACGATTATATAATGAAAACTTTATTTTTTACCATTTAAATGCTTTTACTAAAGTGTATGATTTATTGGACATTGGCATCAAGTAAAAGGTCTTCGTTTTTCACATCATGTGACAGCTGCTCTGCCAGCTGACCTGGAGGTCATGTCTTAAAAATGTGACGGATTGAAATTATCTCAATCCTGCATTTCATTTTTTGAGCCCCACTAACATTTCACAAAACTATTACATTTTTAAACACTGTTTGCAAGACACCATAAAACTAAACACTGCAGAAACTTTCTTTTAGCTAATCATTAATTTTGTTCCAAACCATTCCTAGATCTCCCTGATTGCTTGAGGGGTACCACAATAAATTGCTCCAAACTAAACCTGATTAATGTCAGAACAGCTTGGTGTCTTTATCTAAATGGCATGTTTTCTGATCTTGATTACATATTTGATTTTTAGTTGTGAAGAAACAGAAGACCATTTATGCTAAAAGCTTCCAAAAAGATTAAAGCTGGTGTGCACATCTGAATGTATGCAAGGCAAGTTATCGTCAGAATAAAAATAAACTAAAATCTTCACTTTTTCCCATTTAGAAAGTTTTAAACCAAAATGATTTATTAATATGTCATCTTGTCTGAATTAGGACTTGATCGCTCTCGAACAGCAGGAATTTGGAAAACCCCGACGTTGGCAGTGAAGCTGAACACAAAGCAGAGGACAAACAGCACTTGTTCTGCTAACGCACAGTTTGCACTTTTATTGTTGCCTCATTCACTAAACAGTTCAGTGGTGCAAGATTACCATACACAGAATTAGGATATCTGCATGACACATCTACGCTATACAGCGAAATGGATTATAATTATTACAAATACAGTAAAACATATTTACATTTTAGTTCCAAGCTCCATACAACACAGATATTTACACGGCAAGTATGAAAATGAAACCAGTCGAACAAATAATGTACAGCGTTAATGTCGCGGTTTGTCCTTCATTCTTTCAGCAAATGAATCCAAAAGGAAACGTTGGATATTTATTTGTCAGAGGGGACGATGGAAATTACCATAGCTAATTTTAATTTAAAAGGCATCATTGAAATCGGAGAAGAGTGTCTATCTTCTATCAGTTTACATGTTATTAGCTACGATGTATTATTTTCCCTGATATTAGAAAAATGAAACGGATCAACACCACCTTTCGTTAAAGAGCCGGAAACCTGTTCAGTGTGAGTCCTCAAAAACAACAGCAGACCTTTACATCACTTTCTGATAAACAGGAAGCACTAATGTAACTCACTTCCTCCTTAAACTCATTAATTCATTAAATGACAAACTAAAAACTTCTTGATTAAATCTTACATTCAACTCCCTCCCAGTTCAAGCCAGAGGCCGCTATCAAAACTTTATTTGGTTCCTTATTAGCAGAACAACTAAACCTCAGACGCTTTTACTTGATCAGTTAGTTGAACCTTTAATTAGCATGTGCAAAGAGCTGCAAACTAATATATACATTGCAAAGAATAAATACAAAATTCAAAACAATAGAACTCTGCAAACTAGCCACTGATGTGAAAGTGTTTGCTCTGATGTGCTGATTTAAAATATGCATCTCTTCCAGTTGAGGTTTGCGTTTTAATGCATAGATGCTCTGATAAAATCAGGTGTGGAGTAATTTAATTTTCTCCAAAGTAAACAAACCAGGTTTTGCGTCTCTGACCAGCAGGTTGGCTGACCTGAGGACAGTGACGCCCTGGGTGTCATTAATTATAAAAACTCCACTAATAAAGGCTCTGATTCAACTCTCGTGTCCCGTTCAGAGGCTGCAGACTGCTGGTTGGTAGGCCAGAGTCCAACAACACCCACCTGAGCTTGTAACGGATGAAACAGAGGCAGCAGCATCAGCACAAACACAGCAAATATTTCCACAAACACACGTAACAAAATCTTTCACCTCGCCGTCCCTTCTCTCTCCTAAATCTTTTCCGAACCTGCGTATCGTCCAGCGTAGCCTCGATGTGTGCGCCCATCTTGGTTCCTGAAGCTTGGACATAAAAAAATCCTGTGTGATCTGCTCTAAGTCTTGCTATAGATATGCGTTAATGTGCAAAATAAGGTGAAACACCAAAAGACGCTGGTTACAAATCAAGAAATAAATGCCCTCTGTTACATTTCATATAAATAAAGTTTTAATCACTATATTAATCAAAAGCAAAGTGATGTTGAGTATGAAAAATAATTATGAGCTGAAGAGTTTGTTTTTCCAGGAACTATTAGAAAAACTGTTAATGCTTCATTTTAGATACAACCCAACGCTGTTATCGTCCGTCGGGCCTGGCGTCTGGGCTGAAACGCCGCTGCTTCATTCTCTTCCTCATCACCATCTACGTGACGGTTACCCAACACATTACTGACGAAACTAAAGAGGAATGTCTTAAACGGGATTTAACCATCAGACTGATCCCAGAGCTGGCTGCATTTAGCTATTCATCCGTGGAGCATTTCCCTTACCCCGATATCCTCAAAACTCTGTTATTTTCTTGAGATGAAAGAGCAAAATGACAATTTTGTACTTTTGCATGAACAATCCATCTAATCTTTCCCACTGCAGGGATACAAAACCATTCATTTTTGCTTATTTTGTCCAGTTAGCATGTGTTTTTGACGCTTACACAGATGCACAGACTCGACATCGGCACCATCGCGGGTGTATGTACAGAGACTGAGGACGGGGATCTAAACATCACCTTGGTGACGGTGGAGATTCAGTGCTGCTCTTCCAAGACTTTCACTCAAACTTGTGAGTTTTACTGAGACAGTTCAAGGCTGCTCTGCCTGATGCAAATTATTTCAAGATTAAAAAAAATAATAATAAACTACGACTTTAGTAGCAGCAATAATTCACGTTGCAGAGCTTAAACTAACACATCACAAGGAGATATTAGTAGATTTTCCCTTCATAATTTTAGCTGTTTGATTTGTTTTTGTTTTTTTCAGTGATCATCTCCTGAGGAATGCTGCAGTTATCATGCGAGCACATGATCCAAAACAACAAAAAGGAAACAAAACTAAAACTCATTTTGGGAGACGAGTAACACTGAGAGACATCTCCTTTTTTTTGTTGTTTTCTTTCTTTTACAGATGATCGGCAGAACTGAAGAGTAGTATCTAAAGAGCCGTGCACACAAAAGTAGACTACCACAACATGCTACTAGTTAGGGAGTGACGAGAGAGCAGAAAGGAATTAGACCCAGACATCAGTCGTGAAAAAAGAAACACAAAAGCTGAGGTGGGGGGAGGGGGGACGCTGGAGGAGGAGGGGGCAAATTTCTCTTGAACGGAAACTTTTTGTGGCATGAAAGGAGACTTAAGCCACAAGTCTACTTACAAGAGAAAAACTTTCAAGAATCACAATGATTAATAAGTGTTAACACTGGGTATGATCAAAGGCTGTTCAGAGAGGGGAGGGGGTTCCTGTGTACCGCTGCGCTCAGTTCTTCATCAGGCCGCTGCGCCTCCTCGCCAGCTTCGATCTGCAGACGTGACACAATGCAGCTTAGTTAAAACGTCATTTCTAATGAATAAAGATCAGAAGTATGTGGTGTGTGTGTGTGTGTGTGTGTGTGTGTGTGTGTGCGTACCTTATCGTCCCTGCGAGCAGAGGATTGAAAGCGTACAGCCAGTCATTCATGTCTTTCTCATTGTTGGCCTGCAGGAGGATTCCTCTGTGTTTTGTGCACACGGCGAAGGTGTTGGGAGTCTATGAAGAAAACAGTAAATAGTGGTTTTCATTCATGCATGTTAACCACATTACGAGGATTTATCTAGCTCCTATGATTTTACAAAGCTGATTTATCGTATCGTAGAGTTACTATCGTGCTAATTCTGACTCTACCTTGAGCATGGCCTGCTGGTCTTCGCTGTATTCCACCTGAGCTGTGGACAGGTTGAGGACGCCTCGCTCCACAGGGTCCTTGTCGTTGTTGTAGATAAAAACGTACGGCCGGCGGACGACAACAAAATGCTTCACCCACGAGTTGGAGCGTGGCTCCATGAAGCTCAGGAAACCTTTCTTGGACACGACGGATCTAAGACGAAGCGAGCATAAAAAAAAATGGTCACATGTTTTTAATTACCTACAATTCACTCCTAGAAAAGTTTAATTATTGTTAACAACATACCCCGGCCTCATTTCTTCGATATCAGGCACCAAGTTGAGGAACTCATTCTTTCCAGCTCGTGCAAGGTAGGACGTCTCCAGGGTGGGGACCAAGGGGAAGTTCTCATAATCTGAGCCAGAAGGACTGGAGGCACAAGAGCTGTTCTCTGGGGTCCTTAGGATCAAAACACTGAGTCAGCATCAAGGAGATAGGCCACTAATAAGCTCAACATGAAATGTGGTTTTACTTCTGGTCTAAGGAGCCACAGCGTGAGTCAGACAGTGAGGGGCAGGTGGATGAAGGGGTGAGTGTGGCGCTGCTGAAGCTGGTCACTGATGGATCCCGACCAATAGGTGAGATATCAGACAGCTGGGGAGGAAAAGGGACGAAATAAACGAACTTTCCCAAGAGATACGTGCTTCTTAATGTCTTTGAGCTGACCTTGCAGTCACTGATGCTGTTGACCACCTGGTTGTATTCATTGTTGAAGGTGTGTGTCAGGAGACGCAGGCACTGAAACGCAACAAGATGCTCATCAGCTCCCAGAATTCTCCCATCAGAGGAATTCCTCCCCGTTAACGTGTTGTTGTCTCTCACCTTAGTGGCCAGCTCCTTCTCGCGGTCCACCAGGCTCTCGATGTCTGCAGAGTCGTAGCCGCTGCTCTCGCTGGGAGTGATGGCGCTCTCGCAGGTGGTGCTGGAGATCTGCGAGGAGATGGAAGTGGAGGTGGACAACGTGCCTGAGCTCATGCTGGGGGACAGGAACTCGCTCAGGGACTTAGTTGTAGGAGGTGTTCCCACCGGCGGTGTCTCTCCCAGCTTCTCCCGCAGCAGGAGGAGGTGACGGGTTTTCTCTACCTATGAGTGATGGAGAAAGTGAGTTGGGTACCAGGTGTTGCCATTGAGCAGAAAGAAAGAGGAGAACTTATGAGATTCCCACCTCGTGCAGCTGCTCCATCTTCTCCAGCTCCCATTGGTGCTCTGAGATCAGACTGTCTCCCCTGGGCCTCCACCCAGCCAGGTTCTCCTCTCCACGTACATACGCCACCGAGGTGTCCAGGACCTTTCTCCTCCTCCTCTGCATCCCTGTTCAGCAGAAAAAAGGGATTTTAAAGATAAAGTTCAAAGAGAGAGCACAATAATAATGTATTCTGTTATTTCTTAGTCTGCTCACCTGGACTTCCAGTGTCAGACATCTTACACAAGCTCAGCTCATAGATGCCCGTCACTCGGTTGCTGTGAAAAAGGAGCAGAAGTTAAAAACACTAAAACATGGGAGCAGTGCAGGAACAAGGCAGCATCAGCCTACCAGTCAGGGGTTTTGGAGTACCCGCTCCCAAACAGGTTCCTGAGTGAACGGGGAGGGGAGATCTTGGCGTCTCGAGAGTAGAAGACCATGCAGATGTCTTTGGTGATGATGGCAGGTTGGATGCAGTGGTCCAGCTGTGAGGATGAGACCGGAAGTGAGCCGAGATCCAGAAGAAATAAACCAAAAACAAGAACAACACAACAGATCAGAGGTGTCACGGACCTCCAGATACGCAGACAGAGTCATGTAGATCTTCTCTCCATAAGGAGTGACTCGGTTTAGAAGGAGCGAGTTGTGCAGGGAGCTGTCCCACACCGCTTCAAACCGATAGAAGGTTCTGAAAAGGAAAACCAAAGAAAGACAAGATTTTGTCTCGCTTTGCAGACACGTGAATCATGAGGTCTGCAGAGAGTCAGAAGGTGGGAATTTTATTACATAAACGCTGATTAATTAATGATTTGAGCTCAAGCAAAATGTGCTCAGCAGTGACTAAACGGACGAAAACAAACTGGGGTGAGAACTTGGAACTTAAACAGTTTTGGCTGGCACAAAAAAACTAAACTTGACATGTCTGGGTTGATTTCTTATAGATATTTTAGCCCAATAGCAGCTAAATAAAGAGCATTTTCTAGAAATAAATATTTTAAAAATACTTTTTTTTCCATCTAAATTAACGAGACTTTCATCAAGATTACGGTGTTCCCGCTTCTGGCAGCAGGGGGCGCTGTTGCCCACAGACTGCTGGTGGCCTTGGTCATTTCAGGAGAACAACTGAGAGGAAAATATTCATTTGGAGAACACACCACTACGGTTGGAAGCAGTCACACATTTACACTTGAAATCTAAAATGGGAGCTGCATTTGCATTTAGGATCACCTTTCCTTTCTCCGTTAACATTTTTAACAGGGGTTTCAGGAAAAGGCTGATCGTATGCAACATGCAGGGAAAGGAACAAACAAACTGTGGGGAACTTATTTCTAACTTTCTGAATCTAAAAACAAGCATAGAGGTCCTCTGGTGAAGGCCTTATGCTCTCTAATCACTGGTACCTATCAATATCCTTATCAAAAGGAAGTCTGAGCCGCAGCAGGAGGAGAGAGTGAGCAGAACAAAAACAGAAGCACAGGAGTCAGGCCACAGAAATTAAAAAATGGAGCACAGCAATAGCAGTTCAAAACCGAAAACATGCTATATTTGCCTCTAAGGCAAGGACACGTGCAAGTAAATAATCAGATAAAGTTTCTAAACATCAAAAACAACAAAGAAAATCTGATTCAAGCAGAAATAAAACTCTAAAAAACTAAAATAGATGGATTCATATAATAAAATGTGCAAAAAAAGACTCCAAAACAAACTAGTTCCTTAGAAAACACACCTGTTGGTGTTGTGGGATGACTTGATGTTCTTAGCAGAAATGATGTTCAGGGACAGAACAGCATCAGCTGCGCTGTCGTCCACCTCAGGCTTGTTCCTGATACGACCTGGTGGAGCACATTACTATTACAGCAACTCTCCTTTTCTCTGGAATGTCTAAACTAACAATTTCCAGTCTGACATCTTCACTCCTGAGCCCTTCTGGTTAACAGCAGAAAAATGTCTACGATGCCAAATGTAATTATTTGGTCCATCAGCTGCAGCTACGGTATAAAAAGCTTAAAGATGGAGCAGCCCTGAGCTAAACACAAGAAGCTCTGCACACAGAAAGAGGACTGGGTGGAGCTGGATCAAACCTCAGACCCATTCTGCTGCGTTCACAAGGAAACGATCACTTCTAAACCTCCACAGTGATGTTTGTCTCTTCCTGTCTGCTGTAGTGGGTTATAATCGGAGATAAAAACGCTCACCCACAACCAGCTCACGGACATCCTTCCAGTGGAGCTCGCTGCCCTTCTCGTGGATCAGAGTCACTGTGATCCTCCTCTGGATTCCCTGCAGCAAAGAAACAAAAGAAACAATCAATCAGAGCCAAAGCAGTCATCCTTCACGCCCCTCAAAAGAACACGTTTATTTAATTTTGGTCCAAATTGATGGAAAACCTCTCATGTGGCTTTGATGTTAAATTCTAAAGAGGACAACATTTTGAATTCTGCATTACCTGATGCAGAAGGTACGTTCCATGACAGGGAAGTCCTGCACTGTGATCCACTATAGCTGGGATGTACCTGTAGACGGAACGAGGTCAAAATGAGCATAATGAAGGACAATTCTGTAGAAACGTGCTGCTGTTTCACAGATGATCCAATAATCTGGTGTAATCTGACTGCACAGAATAAATGTACTCACTCTCCAGTGGGCTCCAGCTCGCTGATCTCAAACCAGACGAGCAGGTCGTACTTGCTGACACAGTGACCCAGGTTAGACTTGGTGATCGTATTCAGCTTAGTGGCTGGAACTAAAAAAATATATATATTTAAATATTTCTAAAGAAATTAGCCAAAGAGAAGGAACGAACATTTACTGGATTACTGCATGAAAGGGTGGTCGTGAGCCTGGATACTTGGATGCACTTACACCTAATCCACCTTGTCGATGTATTAATAAATTATTTCACACAGATTAGAACATCTCTGACAGCCACTGCTATCAGACTCATCAGGATTATGTTGCAGTTGAATCATCTTTGATCCATTTCAAATTATTCCACATTAAACCAATGCAGGTAAATTCATGAAGGTTTGGCTCTCAAGTTCTTCATGAACTCATCCCATCAATCTGCAAAGGCAGCATCTACTGGAAAATGTCCCCTCCGTCAGACACACACTGCGCAGCTGCAGTGCATCTGCGCTCCCAGAGCACTACAAGCGCAAAGCACGAGTCTAATCACAACAGCACAGGTGCCTCTAAGGCCTATCACCTAATGCCAGCGGTACCAACCATGGTGCCTGGGCACAGTTACCACGGCGTCGTTGAGAACCGAGAGGAAAGGGAAGTGCGAGAGCTGGTCGGCCTCGTCCTCCAAAGTGGCCACAGCAGTGGAGGCGAGGGCATTGGCGTGCTCGGACAGCGTGTCCAGCACTCGGCCGTTCACATAGCCGCTCACGAGGTAGCGGATCAGCTCGATCTTACGGGTGTGGTCTGGGTGTGAAGTGTTGCGTGAGCAAAGATCGGAAGAGAAATGCGAGTGTGGGAGGAAAAAAAAAGAAACGTTGAAGGGAGAAGAGATTTGGGTAAGAGGATTAAAGATGTGATTCAATAAGAGACACACACAAAAAAAAATCCAAAGGAGGCAAGAGATAAAAAGAATTCGAGGACATGTGAGGAGAGTTTATGTAAGAAAACGAACACAAAGTTATGGAGAAGTGAGGATGACAGAACGCTGTGACGTTTAACACCCCTACCTGGTTTAGACAGAGGCATGGGGATGGGATAGTACTTCCTTGATGGAGTTGGAGGACTGTAAAAACAAAAAAACACACAAAATATTTATTTCTCTAAATCTTATTCGTAATTTCACTAAATCTAAGCTGCTCTAAGGAATCCCTTCATTTTTACCTGATCAGGTCTTGGCCATGAATATGCAGCGGGTGCTGCTGGTAGTGCCCAAACACCTCAAACACGATGGGCTTGGTCTTGATGTACTCAATAAAAGACTCTGTGACCTCCACTGAGATCTGCACCCACATTAGAAAGCAGAGCAGTCAGCCTCCGATAAACCACAGCTGGTGCGTTCGTGTGCAGGTGTGTACTCACATTCTGAACGTGGTAGAAGCTCAGAGAAGCTCCTTTTCCAGCGTTCTTTAGAGGCTCTGTGGAAAATGCCTCGTCGTGACGATGAAGGAAACTGAGAACAAAAAGGTGAACGGGTCTCCGGTGAGTCATGTTGGATTTTGAGCATGAAAACAAGAAGTTGTCTTGTTGGATTTAGCTCAAACTTGTCTTTGTTCTTGTTCTTTTTTGGCCTCGTTTTAGATTAAAGCTGCATCAGTTGTCTGACTTCTAAAAACCTGCTGAGTGTGTGCTTTTTAATAGTTTTATCCCCTAACTGATGTAAAAATCCCTTTTATGTTAAACCTGAAAATTAAAACAAAGCCGACTCACTTGAACTGACAGAAGATGTCCGCGTACTCGGGCTGGATGCCGCTGGCCTGGAGGACGGTAACGCGGAAGGTAAAGATGCTGCCCACCTCCAGCTGGCCAGCTAGACCCTCGCCGGGGCTCAGCTTGGCGTCTGTGACGTTGCCCAGCTTGAGGTCTGAACAGAATTACAGCAGACGCTCAGACTTGCATTCAACAAAGGTGGCCAACAGCTGTTCTTGTGAACTCTAAGCTCCAGACTGCTTTCTATAACTCGTGTGATTTGCAGGGTGGGTTCTGCCTTTGAGCAAATTCCTTCACAAAGCAAGAACAACTGCAGAAACCTGATTTCCATGACAAAGTCCTGCTTTGCATCTAATAAGACCTTCTGCCAAGTGTGCTTCCCACCGGCCTGAGCGGTCCAGATTTACGAGCAGAGAGGTGAAGGTCTGGAAGCCGTACCCATTTCGTTGATTCTGTTGAGCTCCTCCGAGGGTGTGATGACCTCTGAACTCTGGCCCTGACCCTCCACAATGCGCAGCTCCTCCAGGGACAAGCCAGAGCGGGTCATAACCGTGGTGGGAAAATCGTTCTGATTAGAAAGAGACAAACAGCAAACATTAGCATAAAGCTGGTAGGAAAAAACTAAATATTTAAGGAGGTATAACTTCCCGGTACTCTAATGGGAAAAGTATTCCTTTGCTGCCCTAAAGAGTTAAATAAAAAACTGACTTGTTGAGGTTTAAATGCCTTTTATTAGACTCTGAGCTCACCTTTTTGAAGTACTCATCATCAAAAGAAATCTTGGCAGTTCCTGACTGTCTTACGCCTGACCCGTAGTCTGGAGCCTCCTCGTCAGCTAGAGACACAAACCAAGCCTCTGATCACAAACTGCGAAACACACAGCTGACTTCAACTGTCAAAGCACATCAAAGGGAATATTTAAAGCATCTGAGAGAACTTCTGCTTTGGCAGCAGATCGGTAGCTTAGGGAAACCTTCCACATGTTGCGGTTACTCTTGTTTAGGAATCTGTTTTGATTCACTCATAAAGCAAAGAGTATTTTGTTCTTCAAGCAGAATCTCATTAATAACTCACCAGCTATAGCCTGGACCCCCACGCACAGGAAACCTCGCACATCACCTTTCTCTGTTACTATGGCAACCCGGTGTACGAGTGGTACAGGGTACAGCAGGTTGCTCAGGTACACAAAAGCCCTGGGAGTAAAGACAACAAGTTGAGATCAGTGCTCGGATCAATCAACCATCTTCATCTTAACACTGAGGGTTTCTGTAGCTTCTACATTTAAAATGCGCCTAAAACATTGTGTGCATGAACCTAAATGTTGGCTTTTTTTAGTGAATATCAACAGAAATATTCGTTAAAATGTTAGTGAGGATTGTGTGAAGGTTCAGGCAAATTAAAACAGAGATGAAAACAGAAATCCTTGAAAGCAGCTGCAGATTTAATCTCATTTATTCATTCATTTTTTCCCCCCACTGCAAGATTGCCAGGATGGGGCAGTAAAAGCTGTAAAATGAGTGTTTTATTGTGTTATGTCGTGGTGCTGTTAAGTCTCACACAAACACACACGCTGACATTTTGTTTTGTGAGATTTGATTTGTTTTCACCAACACTCCCAACATCCCTCCACCTCAGGAAGTGGGGGGGAGGCTCAGGGCCAAGACAAAGCAGAGAAACGTCAATCTGCAAAATCTCTGATGTCACGGTGACGCAGGAATCTTAGCTACTGCAGGCTGACTAAAGCCGGCACCGATCTGTCATCTTCTGAGACGAGAGCACGGTGTTTGTTAAGCTGCTGTGTTTACAGCGCTAACATGATGTGCTAAGTGTGCTGTGAATTTTAATACATCAGTTAAACTGTTCAAGCAGGGAGATAATTACTGTAAAATGCTTTTTTTTTAACACCAAGAACTGGGTTTTCATAACTCATAAAACTAATTTTTCAAAGGGGCAATTCTTATCAGATAATTGCCTAGAAGCTTTGCAGGTGAGAGGTTTTTGTTTTGATTGATCTTGTTGCTGATTGCACCCATTAGTTGCTGTAATATAAAACACTTCCACCCTTTACATCAGAGGAATCGTAGCTTTTCAACATGTGCACACACACACACACACACACACACTCACAACGTTGTTTAGAAACGGTAGCTAGGGCTGCTCGATTACGGCAAAAATGATGATCACGATTATTTGGACTAAGATTGAGATCTTGATTATGTAAGATAATTTTTTTCAATTTATGTTGATTTTATTAATTTATTCGGTCATAAAATTGCACAGGGCACAATCACAGAAAAAATATATAAGAAAAAGAAAGAAAATAATCACAAAAAACTCCTGATTCCTAGTATAAAAGAGCCAGTACACTTGCTCATAGTGTATAGGGTTTAGGCTGAGGCTTAATTTATCTAAGCCTACCCCAAACAGACCCAACTTGATAAAAAGTCAGCGTGAGGACTGTATTTCTATCTATTTCTAACTTATTTATTTACAGATACCATCAGTTAATTTAATAATTGTCCCAGGCATTTTGTACCAGCCCTTTCACAGCGGTCGGAGGTGCGCTGCAACACACACACACTCTCACCCGGTCTCACGGCAATCAGAGGCATGCTGTGTGTGTGCGCAGCGCGCCCACATTTTGCTGTTTTTGAGCAGCTCAGGAGCCTGCAGTTACATTGTATGTCACTCACTCCGGCTCCTCCAAGAGGAAGCCGGCTCGGAGAGCAGTTTCATTCACGAAAGACACATCACTACAACATTCCCACGACGATCCAGAGCGCAGGCTTAGCGTTTTGCTAACCTGCAGGGTTATCCAGAAAGTAGCTAAGGATTACCAGAAGTGTTTATAAGTTGTCCACTAAAAAAAAAGCCAAAAAGAGGATCTGAAAAGTTGTTGAAAACAGTGACAAAGTTCATAAAAGGTGGCAACGCTGCTGGGAGGTACGCTCGATTTGCAACTCGGAGTAAACCACGAGGGAGGAGCAAATAATCAGCTTGTTTTGTGTTTAGAATCGTTCAAAACTCTGATCGTAATTGTGAATAAAATTCGATTGATTGAGCAGCCGGTGGCACAAGTTTAGCCAAATGTTTCACGTTTTATCTGTATATCTTCCTTAAATAAGATACATTTATGGTTTGTGTGAACTTTAGGACATATTAAAGAACACTGGCCTTCCCCGGGGTGGCCATAGACACCCTTGGCCACCCCTTGTAGACACCACTGCAGCTAAATATTAAAATCAATCCAAGTTGGTATGATCATGTGACTGCTGCTGCTAGTGGGATAATATACGTTTCAAATGCAAAGTTAAAAACAAAAATGAATATAAGATAAAATAATGTTGACAAAAGTAAACAAGACAAATCCAAAAGACACAAAAGGTTTAAGTATAAAAAAAATGTAAAATAAATGACAAATACTTGGTAAGCTTGTACAGAAATACACAAATGTGACAAACAGATGGGAGTTAAGACAGCAGAGCGGTGATGGAGCAGGATGAGACATCTCACTCAGGGAGGTGGGCAGGAAAAGACGGTGGCTTTTCACATAAAAGTATCTTTTAAAACTCACATGTATGACTCATCATTTTACAGAATGAAGGGTCAAACTGTGACTCGTTGTTTCTGATTTACTGTGGTATTAACATCTACAATGAGCCACCAGCAGGTCTCCTGACTCAGCCTCCTTGTTCCCCCCACACCCCCTGTTGGTCACCAACCTTCCCACCAGGATGAACCAGGGGGAGCGGTCGTAGAAGGGGTCCTGGCCGTCGCTGAAGATGTCAGAGCCCTCCTCGGTGCCAGCGTCTGAGCTGGTGTCGTCCACGAACGCCTCGTCGTCCATGAAGTCGGACATCTCGCTCTGGCGCTCATCCGCCAGCTCAGTGATCTCGGAGTCGGTGGTGGAGAAGGTGGGGGAGGGCGTGCGGTCGGCCAGGTGCTCATTGACACAGCCGTGAAAGATGGGGGAGCTGGGAGGGGTTGGCAGTTTGGGAACAGTGGCGAAAATCCAGGAAAGGTAACAGTGAAGTCACAGCAGAGTTAAAATGGGCCAAAATGCCTTTTGTTTTTTGTTTTTTTTTTTGCTTCTGGTACTTTTAAAACACATTTATTACAAAAATCAGTATAAATTCACGTAATATCATATTAGCAGTTTTTCCAGCAGAAAGCAAACATCAGGATGAGCTTCTGCAGGATTCATTTCACAAAAAGCAGGAATTAAGGTGTCACAGCAGATTCCACAAACATGGCCATTTTAAACCTAAATGAAACACCCACTTTAATGGATTAATGCATAATAAATCTTCCCACGTAGGCTGCGTGAAAGAGGATCAAACACAAAATGCAGCACATTCCCACATTATCCATGTTTCTGTGTGACTTACAGGGAATATCTCAAGGAGAACAAAAAAAAATGACTAAGTATAAATGAAAGGAACACATAACATTAAAAAACCAACACAAAATGTAATGTCAAATAAAAATGAAATGCACAGGAAGTCAAATGAAGCTAATTAGGTACAAAAATAAAAGATTTACATGAGTGCCCATACATAAGTAAAAAAAAGACAAAACAATGAAGAAACTCCAGTGGTGAGAGAGGAAAATGGAAAACAATAATGCATACATTCATTTTAAACCCCAACTCTGCTTCAGAGCACCAAAACACAACATTTTTACCACAATTGAATTTTTTGTGTTACACACCTCCCAACGAGCTTAAACCAGTGGAATCGGTCGTAGAAGGGATCATTTCCCGTCAGAGTTCCCTCCCCATCATCCTGGTGAGTGGAGGCCATTTCTCCAGCCCGGTCGTACATCTCCCTCATCTGTTCCAGCCGCTGCCTGCAAATGACGACAGCGAGCACTCAGAATTAATGGAAACAGGACGAGGACTCGGGAGCTCATTTAGTAGCTGGGGGAGGGATGGAGAGATGTTAGCGACACGGTCAGTCAACGGGAAGGGGAAAGGCTGCTTAGTATGGGCATTACTTGAGTTTTTCAAGGGACCAGTAGTGTGTGGCTCCGTTCTTCAGGTCCTGGACCTCAACTGCCACCACTGTGCGAGGGAAAGGCCTGGGGTTGCGCTCTTTCTCTGGCTCAGGGGACACGAGCTCAGGGGGCAGCGGAGAATACAACGTGTCTGTCAGCAGGACAAACTGGAACTGGACCTGAGGAACAGAACATGGAGATTAATAACTAAACAGTTTCTGAAAACACACGATAAATGACCCTTCTGTGGCGCCGATCACAAAGCTTCTAGAGGCGGTGGAGAGAATAAGTCTCCATCTTCAGCAAACCAGTTTTGATTTTTAGCCGTTTAAAATATCTGTTTGACAGTGGATCAATTTTGTGTTCTGGAAGATTTAAAAGACCTTTTCTAAGTACAGCTCAGACTGTGTGCACTCAAAGGGCAAACGTTGCTTCGACAGTCTGATCTGAAGCTACGTCAACCTGCTAAACCTCTAATCAGTGTGATTTTTATGTACATGCAGGAACATTTGTTAGCTCCACCCACTTTCTTCTTGAGCTCAACACTAATGGCGTTGGCCTCCTTCAGGTAGACGGCATTTCCCCACAGCTGATCCCGCAGGGAGGTAAACTGATGATACCGCCACTTCCTGAAGGCCCACTGAGCCAGCTCAAACTCATGCTGGGTCCACGGCACTGTGGAGTGAGACAGAGAGAGCTTTAAACACAACATAGATTAAATAGAACATACTGACGTTCACACAAATATTTGCAAATCCCCAAAAATGGCCAGATCAACAAATATCCACTTTACTTCAAACTAGAGTTTGAATACATGGATTACTTTACTTAATACTGTGTCACCTTCCATCGTTTTTTACCCTGACAACTGATCGAATCAAGAGGATTCTCAGTGAAGGGTTAACAAATGTATGAAAATGAACAAAAAAAAATCCATGGAGGAAAAAAATCAATCGCACTTTTAGGACGATTCTTGGAACTTCTCAGCTTTTTATTTCTTAGGAATCTGATCTGTGAATGTTGGAGCAACTGGAAGGTTTAAAAACTAATTAAGGTTGGTGGAAAGAAAAAAACAAGTTGAAGCTTCTTTGATTTAATATATTTTAGGCAAATTAGTAATGTGCTATCTCTAATGGATACTTATTAGTATGGCACTATTAATAAGTTTTATTTATGAAGAGGTGACATTTAAGAGATAAAATGATATACGTACATCCAGGTAATTTAGGCTCTGGACACAAAATGAGGACAAAAAACCCAACACACAGTTTATTTTTCCAACATTTGTGATCCACATCGAGTGTGTCCTGTCAAAATTAAACACTTATGATTGGTAATTCAACAGTGCACACCTTCTTCCTCTTCTTCCTCCTCCAACTCTTCCTCATCAGGCGTTTCTGCTACCAGAGAGCGAGTCTCCACCTGTTTCTGGAGCTCCTGCAGTTTGCTCTCGTAAACCTGGACACCAACACACAGGAGAACACGGACAGCTGTCCATCAGCTGCAACCACATTTCAACTCGAATGCGCCTCAACCGGCAGGATTCAAAGACTTGTTCCATTTTTGGAAAGTCTCTAATGCACCTGGAGTATTGCCTCTAGGAATCACCTGTTGCTGGGAAGTTTGATCAAATCTTCAAAGAAAGCATCCTTATAAGTGTGTAAATGATGCTAAATAATGTAAGTGAGGTCAGAGATGACAAAGAATGTTCAGTTGTAATACAGAGTAAACACAAATACTTTATTAGTTTAAATTCTAATGTACTTTGCTGCTTAAAAAATAATATAAAAAAGTCTGTGCAAATAATACACAGTTGACTTTATGCATCAAATGGCTGCAAGGGAGCTGAGTCAGCTGTAATCCGATGAGGGGCGCCATCATCATCAGGGAAGGACACGCTGTGGTCCCAATGACCTCATCCTGTTTGTTCAGTCTTCTGGGAAAACAATGCAGCCTTTTCATTTGTCGCTGACCTTCTCCCTGCTGCAGTCCTACTGACGAACCAAACGCCTCCGTTTCTTTAGAAAAATACTTAACATAATCCCTATGATGCATCAAATCCAACATTAGATGGCACATCTGTTTATTTCTATGAGTATATTGCTAATAATTATGACATATGTGTTCATAAATGCAACTTTAATCCCTGTTCTAGCACAAAAACTCATGTGCAACACTGAGACATTTAACAGATTAGTGATAAGAAACAAAGTTTAACATGGTATTGAATAATCGTTAGTTAAGAACTTTGAAGAGTGTTTTGAAAAACGTATAAACGTAACGTTGTGGAAAGTTCTTTGAGCAACCTCAGCTGGGAGAAATGGATCGGCAAGTTACAAAGTTGTTCCTGCTCGCTTAAAAATATTCACAGCACTGCAGCTAGTTTTATTTTATAAAGTTCAAATCATTTTTACGCAGGATTAGGTGGTTGTTTACAAGGGGAAATAGTTTAAAAGCTTGTAGTAAATAGTACAATATAACAATTCTGCAAAAACAATAATGAAATGTGACATTTTTGGCACAATAAAAGTTATAAGATTTTAGAGACTACAATTGTCTGAAGACATAACTAGTTAGCCAGTCTGTTTGATCTGTGCTAATCTGCTGGAATAAAAATCTCTCTGCTGATTATTAGCTAGAGATGCACTCAGGGAAAAAGATCATCTGGTGGTTGGAGTAATAACGGAATTTGTTGCATTTTTCAAACAGGAAGTGGGAGTGGAGTAAGACTCTGGTAGGGGGTGACTTGCTCTTTAAGAGAAGAATTTGAAGAAAAAAATTAACAGAGGTACTTGTATATATACATAGGCAGTAATCTAGTATTGTAACCTTCAACCACTAAAAACCATGAATAAAAATGAAAAACTTGGGTTCCAGAACTAGGCGGCATACTGTAAGGGACACAAACATACCAAGTAAATCCGGTATTGCACAAGGACTCGGGGAAGTGCAGCGGTGCGGTGAGATCGGCAACCGCATGGTCCAATGATTGCTTTTGGTCCGAACCGTTTTATTAGTGGCGGTTTACAGGAGAACCACTTTATTACATTTTCTTTTATCTCAACAATATATCTATAGCTATACTATGTTAGAACGTTGTTAAGAGGCATGAAAACAATGTTTAAAGCTAATTTGTTGTCCAAATTTGAAATGGAAGCTTTAAAAAATATCGCTACCTCAACCCCTATCACTTTGATTTCTGACCCGTTTGTGGTTCTGACCTCATGGCTTACAAGTAACAAGCACTAACGAATGACAAATAACTGCACATGAAGCAGATCCTTTTATTTCAGTCATCGTTTGAAAATAAACCTCCAGCAGCACAGGTGTGGTACGTCCTTTTTCTTTTAACTTGTAAATAATACGTTTCAAATATGTTTGGACAAGAGGCAGCACAGGTTTGTACGCAGGCAACACGAGGCACATTCTGTTGATTCAAAAAGCAGACATTCAACACTTAAGACACTGAAACATGACAGTTAAATGGATTTTTCATAAGAAAAAGAGAATTTTACTGTACAAAGTCCCAAGATGTATAACTTTCCAGCTCACCAGCTCACATTCATTAAAGGAGAGATTATTGAGGCAGTGGAAACGTAAGCTCTTACATGCAAAGATAGTCAAAGTAGCACAGTGGGGCAGAATATTTACCCTTAAAGTATAAATGTAGAGGATTTTTTAATCTCTCCATTGACATTTTGATAGTCTTTAAAAGGTCTCTCCCATGTTGCTGAGGGCATCTGTTGTCTCTGTTAAGTTGTAGTATTTATGGATTTTTAAAGCTAAAAATGCAGCAAGAAAATAAGCACTAAAGTACACAAACAGCTGGTTTTATAAAGTACATCTCAGATACTGAAGTTCCACAACTCTTCTTAAGCTAAAACAAGGCAGGATCAAAATCTCGTTTGATACGAGTATTACTCCTGCATCAATGATTATGCAAGCATTTCAAGTCTTTGTCGCTCTTCCGGGATTTTTTTTGGGCCAGACGTAGGAAACCATGACAACTCCCAGAGGGCCTCCCATCCAACACACGGTCAGCTCTGTGTTTGCTCATGAGCCACAAAGCTAAAAACGTAAAGAAATGCTGGACTGAACTGGCTCATGTTGTTTTGATGAACGGAAAAAACAGAAAGTTCATCTGAAATAACCAGTTTACAATTCAAACTTCCCTCAGTGTTTGATTTTTAAATATCAGCCAATTCTGCATCCTCTTTATTTTTCCCCCCATTAGTGGTTCACAGAATCCTAAGTGAAGATTATTGTCAATATAAACAATATTTTTATTATTAGGGCTTTTAAATACACTTGGGCTAATTCTGTAGCTTAAGCATGACTCCAGGAAGTGCAAAACTCTGTAATACAACTGGTGGCAGTTACATTTTTCTAATTAAAATGAAAAAAGAAATTAAGTGGTCTTTAAACAGCTTTAATAAATGAAAACTATTATAAAAAGGTTATTTGGGTAAATAAGCTGAAGCCTGCATATTAAGTTAAAATAGTAAATGAAATACTGATAATAGTGAAGTTAAGGCATTAAAAAGGCACCTTTTGAATTAATCTCATACATACCACTATTGCCATCTGAGTTTAAAAGGCACAGTCAACTGATGTTTCAAGTTTTTTAAGTTATCTTTTGATTGTTATTTCAGGCCAATGATGATTTATGAGGTACAACAAACGTTCAACAGAAATGAAAAAACAAATAGAGGCTGTTTCCTGTTTCAAAGCGAGCAAAATGTCATTCAACAATACTAAAAAGGTAAAAATGTAAACTCAGAACAAATTCAGCCATGATCATCATTTAGGCAAACCAAAGCATGATTCATGAATTGTTGCACATGCCAATAAATAACCGGGGCGTGGCATTTTTCTACTGTATCACCCCCCCCCCACCACCACCACCACAATTATCTATCGACGTTAAATCCTTGCAACAACTCTCCCAGCGCTACTGATGACGACACACACAGCGCAGCAAACACTGGTAAAAAAGAGGATGCTGATGTGGAAATGTCTTTTTTAACAGTATTTACAATAACTGGATAAACCAGTGAAACATGGATCAAGTGCAAAAGTCAGAGTTAGTTTTGCTGTTGTGATCTGTACGTGTTCATCTAGCAAAAACATCTGAAATGAGTTCCTCGGTGGGCGAGTCAGACAGCCGTCTCCCTGCTGGCTTTGAGGTTAGGGGCGGACATTTGTCTGCGCATTCTTGGAGGTGGCTGGAAGTTGACTGGAGGGTTATGATGGTCGGGGTGATGGAGCTTCTGGTAGCCGTTGTAGCTACCTTCTGTGTACATCATGTTGTTGTAGTGGTTGGGCTGGTGTTGGTAGTGAGGCGGAGGGTATGCTGGCTGGTTCTGGTAATGGTGGGGCTGGTAGAAGACTTGTGAATGCCTCCTGTTGTTGTTGGACTGCTGTGGTGTCTCTGAGGTGGCGGAGGGACGTTGACGGTGGTTAAAAGAGTTGCTGCGGCCGCGTTCCAGGGGCTGCTGGTTGTTCCTATAGTTATGTCTATGAGCCGGGTTAAAACTCTGATCAGAGTCTTTATTCCTGTACTGAAGCGACGGGCTCGGCAGGGGAGGAGTGATGTGGACGACGGAAGCACCCATCACGTCTTTAGGCTGTGCTACTTCTTCAGCTTGGCTTTCTCCTTCTTCTTGAACAGCCTCTTTGGGCACCTTTAGCTCTATGACCTGCTCATCTGTAATGATGATATGAGTACCAGGACTCCATGAGTTACGGTGTTTGGGGTTACTTCTGAAAGGGAAGCGAAGCTTTCGGTCCTCGGGGGGTATGAAGCGATGTGGTCCGGAGTGCCGGCGAAGCTGCTTGGAGATTTCTTGCTGCTGAAGACTCTTGAGGCGCAGCTGCTCTTGGCGCATCCAGCGCAAGTGGCCTCGCTTCAAGGTAGAGTCATCCCCCGTATTTTGGCTTATTTGTGAGTCCACATCCTCCACATCAGCCCTTTCAGGCACAGGAGGTTTTCCTTCTTGGGGACTGGGAGTTCTGGCTAAGCCAGGAGCATCCAGAGTGGGAGGCTTTTCTTGGCCGTCTGGAGTCATAAGTGGGAGGACCTTTTCCATTTTCACCATCTTGTTCCTGAGAGCCCGAATCTCCTCATCCTTCATGTTGTTCTGTTTCTTCACCTCCTGCAGGATGTCTTCAAGTTTATCAATGTGCACCTTTAGCTCATCCATAACCACCCCTCCAGGCCGAGCCCCGTTTGTTATGACATCTTCGATGCGCTCATCACCAACTCCAACGGTGTCCCAAACATCCCGAGCCACAGCCCTCCATGAGTCCCGCTCATTGGGGTCCTTCTTGCCGTAACTCGCACAAAGCTCCTTCATCTTCACTATAGCCAGAGCCTCGATCTCCTGCCGCGTGTGGCGGAAATCATTGAGCGCTACTTCATAACAGATCTCTTTGACCGCCTGGATCTTCAAGTCGGAGATGGTCACCCACTTAGAGTCCTTAGTGATGCGGCGTCGCTGAGGAATCTGGTACATTTTAACAGGCTCTCTTCTTTTCCCACTGCTGGGTAAGCCACACTTTTTCACTATGGTCTGCAGCTTGCTGGGAGGTAGCTTTTCCCTCAGAGAAGTGATTAGCCTCCAGCTCTCTTCACAAGACCTCTTATCAGAGTCATCCCCACTATCAGAGTCTCCATCCTTGAGAAAACAACACAGGACACAAACCAAACGGTTCCCCAAAAAGGAGAAATTACCATGGGAAATCAGGGAGAGAATGAAAAGATGGTTTAAACAAAAAAGAATGAATAAATAAAAAAGTATGAATATGCAACATGGGAACTTAAAAGAACTTAATGTTTTCATTTTCTATTTTTTTAATCACAGACACTTGTCATTATGAATGTATTCTGCATACATCCCTGTTTAAGATGTATGACAACATGCAATATTTAAATAATCAAAACCAGATGAAAAACAAACAAATCAAATGAGCAACAGTGGCTTCATTGACTTTCTTTTCAGGTTTATTTGCTCTCATTTTCAAATGAAGTGATATAGATGCATGTTTCCTAAAAAAAATAAATAAAAACTAAGTCCCAATAGAGGGGATGTAGATTTACACAGTGTAGTTCCCAATGTTGCATATTGCTATGAACCATAAAGCATGTCTATCATGATTAGAAAGGAATAATTAATCAGTAGACGATAGTCGCTGATTGGAGCATTTCTGAAACATTTTGGAATAATCCTCTTCTTAATTGAAAGTTTTGCGATTAGACAGCTGGATCCCAGATGCGCTACAGTGGCATGCGTGCAGATGGACTTTGGAGCTTTTCCCCTTTTAGTCCAGAAGGTTTGAGAGGGCTTTAGTATTAGTGGTAAGTTAGAAGACAGAGTGTTCTTGCAGTTGATCAGAAAGCCAGTAGAGTAGAGACGCGGGGTTAAGTGTTAATCCACTACAAAAAAGAAGTTAGTTGGAAAAAGAAAAATGCAGTTTCTCATTTTTGTAGACATCGAACACTACAGATCACAACCAGTTTGGTCCAGATGTTCAGCTCTTCTGTGTGAGACACTGCTTATGGCCAGAATTGGATGTGTGATGTCTCAGGGAGTGTGTGAAAAGTTTGCATGTCGTTCTGCACATAAAACCACCAGGAAACGAGACGTCTTTGCCTCACTGATTCAATTATGAGCAGCAATAACTTTGTTGTGGAACCGTGCCTTCAATGGGCTACTCAAATGCCAAAAATGATGATACTTGAAAGAGGGGCAGCTGAAGAAGTCAATGAGAAACCACATTGTCACTATCCATCAAAAACTACAGCAGGAGTTTTTAGTTATCACAATGCATTGGACGTGTCAGCAACTGCATTGAAGAGATGAAACTCAGTACGAAAATAATCAGAGTAAGAAAACTAGAGTAGAAGTATAAAATCAAAGCAAATCAACAGCTCCTTGTTGACCAGTTCAACAGCAAACGCAGCAACTTAGTCCAGAACCAGTACTGAATAAGTTAACATGCTATACATAACACGAACCATGCAAAAGCAGCATCTTCTTTTAATAATAGCAATAATTTGTCTTTTATTACTGACAAAAACGGAATGAGTTCCAGATCCCTTATCAAGTCAATTTAGCTGCTGTTTTGCAAGATTCAGATCCACTTTAGGAAAAAGGAAAACAGCTATTTGAAAAAGGGGTGAAAGCTCAACAATCTAAGTCTCAAACTGCTACAGAAAAATCAGTTAAACTCAAGAGAGAGACGAGTCTCAAACCAGAAAACTTTCATGCAAGAACAGAACATGCGCTTGACATAAAAATGTGTTTCACACACAAATCTCAAGAGTCAGAGCTCAGCGTGAGAATTAGTACAATTCAGATTTAAATGCACCATACTGAACTATCATCCAAGAAACAAGCTTTAATTTTCCAATTCTAACAGACCATAGAAAACCATGCTGACTCTGAATTCTACTTATAATGTCTGGAAATGCTTTTCACTCAAAAACACACAAAACATCACAAACTAGCTGCATCACTCAAGAGGCTGCTTCTGATTAAAATATAATAAGAATGTAAACACACTCTGCACAAAAACTGACTAAATCCTTTAAATTTTCTAAGTGGGAGCCATTATTTTTCAGCTCATTGGAACTCACCAGTCGCTGCTGTTCCAGAAGCTGGTCGGCTTCTTCCTTCTCCTTCTTGTACAGGATTTCCATCTCGGTGAGCCTACGCAGGAGTGTGAAATATGTGCATTCTTCATTCATGCCTGAAACAAAACAACTACCAGGTAAATTTAGATTTAAATACCTTTTCTCCATTTCCTGCTTCATGTCGATGCCCTGCTTCTCCAGGAGCTCTCGCTGAGCAAACGTCCAATCCACAGGCTCCACGGGCGTTTCGGCGGACGGAGTTTTCTCTCTTTCAGCTCTGGCCTGCTCCGGGTGGTTAAACCTGAACACGTGATTCTTTCCCATAATGATACGGTTGCCTGAACACAGGTGGAGCACGTGTCAGGCAGGAATAGGAAACAGGGAGGTAGTACATTTCTCTTTCAAGAATCTTTACTATAATACATTAAAACAATTTCTAAAAAGCCCCTAAACCAAAACATTATCTATATGATTTTAATCATGTAAAGGTACAAAAGTTGTTTTGATCATCAAATTTTCCAGGAGACACTAAATAAAAACTGAAGATTTGATTTACATACCTGACCGAAGCTGGATTGCATCTTCAACACGTTTCCCATTAACGTAGGTTTCTGATCCCTCGCAGGGAACAAGCAGCACGACAACTGCAGGAAATTTTAAAAAAAAAGTGTAAGTCTGGTTTTTTTAATGTATTTTCTAAATAAAAGCACAGATCGCTATTACACACATAAGCAACAGGCTCATGACTAAGTCTCACCATCACCGTTGGCATTCCTTTCGCTGCGGAAGATGCAGTGCTCTTCCTTAATGTGAGCTCCACTCAAAACAATGTCCTGCCTCCTCTCAGCATCAGCCTGACCCACCCTGAAAGTATCAGAGGCCATTTTTAAAGGGTGTGTCCTGCTCTCTTAATGCTTTTGAGTCATTATTTAATGCTCTTTTAGTTACTGTCCCCTAGTGGTGCAAATATACCAAAAATACAGTCAACGAAAAAAAGGAACAAAGTCACTTCAGACCAAAGAAACTTTCAATCAGAAGCAAATTTGAAGCTCCTGACTCTTAAAGGCGCCTCTTCTTGATGTAAAAAGATCAAATAAACCCCAAAGCCACACCTGAAACCCACATCCTCTGCAGCTGTTTTACCTTGTAATCCCATCTTTGATGTAGTAGAGCAGACACTCTGACATGAGAGGATCCTCGTTCAGGTTGACCAAATGAGGAGTCTGAAGATGAACAGGAGAAGTTTAGAAGTAATTTCTTACTTTTACTTACTTTCATAATTATTTAACAAGATTAAACGTGGAATGCAAAATGTACGGTAATACGAAGTGATTTAAAGGAGCCAGTTATTGACAGGCTAGCTTGTCTGGTTGATCCAAACTAATATCAGTTTCTCCTATTTCAAGCCATTCCAACAACAAGGAAGCAATAAGTTGCACCTAAGTTTTCTACAAACTCCTCCATCTAATATGTTTCTAATCCATTTGGGCATAAATCATCACACCAAAACGAAAAACTAAACACGTCAGACATGGCTGCTCCTCTGAGAAGGTAAAAGCTGAAAGTCACACGACCAGCAACGTCAACTCTAGTTTAAAAATTACCACCAGTGTTTCTATTAGCTACAACTCCACCAACCTTTTTTGGGGAAAAAACCCCATTAAAGTCTGTATAGAGGTCACAAGGCTTCTCTCTGAATTGCTAACTCAAGGATGAGAGGAGAGTGAAAGAAAAAAAAAGGACATGTAAAGACTTTAAAAAACAGAACAATTAACAGAAGACAAAAAGGGGTTAGAACAGAACAAAAGTGATTATTTGAGAAGTAAAAACCAGAGGTGATGGCCAAAAATGAAAGCTTTATTCATCTGGTTTGAACTGCTGCAACAGCAATTCCATTGGTCTCTACATTGATGCAAGCTGCTCCTACTTTCAGGGGAGATGCTGGGTAAAAAGCAGCACCGCTGTCTCAAATCTAATCAGTCTACTGCAGCAGCACTAAGAGGTTATGGCAGCTAGGGAAAAGTTTCAATCATCTACTCAGAACACAGCATTATATACAAATAAAGGCCTAGTTTCAAAGGTTTGGCATAAAATAACACAGACGTCTATAGAGGCATTAAATATAAACTATTTCTGATGCTAAAGATTTCTCTGACAAAGATGGAGCTACTTCTAGTCCAAGGAAGGTTGTTTGTCCATTCCGTTCACTTAACAAACCTTTTTGGCAGAAAAACAATCAAACTGCTCATCAAATGTCCCATCGTGGCTAAGCTGAGTGGGTTAAATTTGAAAAGACAGAGTGAGAGGATAAGAAAGTGAGAGGCAGTGTTCTCATGGGAAAAAGATGACATGAAAAACTGAAGTGATGGAGGATGGGTGAGTTCCACCCACCCAATGGAAATATGACACATTGACCCACTCCATCAGTGTGCAAGCTTGTGTGTGATCTCTGTCTGCTTCGACCAACCTTTTTAGGAGAAAACACACCCAGAGTGCCTCCATCTTCACGGATGGCCACGCCCATCTCTGCCAGCAAAGCCTCCCTGTAATGCGGGCAAGGTATTGATGTTACACAGCATGTTTACGTTACGATTCTCTGCAACAAATGCTTTTCTTTTTGTTCATTTTTTCAACAACCTTTTACTTTAAAAGCTGAAGAGGATAAAAGCTAATAGATACTGGAGGTTGTGATTTGTGGTATGACTCGGTAACATGGCTGATCTCTGCAGCCACAGACGAATAAAGGGGGAGAAAAGGTGGGAGAGGGGTGTTTGTGCAGCAGTGCGCGACAGCAAAGATGAGGACAACAGACAGAATTGGTGCAGATGATAGTAGAAAAATGCATGAAAATATTTGATTCTAATCTGTTGGCATGAGCCTTAAAGATTAGCTGGAAATCAAATATGATATTTTGAATGACAAGAAGCAGAAAACTCAGCAGTCAGAGATGACAGACACACTTATGGTCTCAAGAAGGCTGCATTTAGCTGCGCACATAAAAATGTACTGTCACAGCTGAGTAACGGAGATAAATGGGAGACGGACAATGCCAGCCACATCCACACAGCATGAGGTGGGTGTGAACGCTGGGTCGTGTGTTTTGGAACGTTAAAGACAATAGACGACACACGCCCCCCACATTGACGTCAGTGAGGTGTGGGGAGAGCATTTTCCAAAGCTATCAGAGCGATTGACATGTAGTCCAGACAGACTATAAACTCCAATTAAGACCGATGGGGTGGCTGCACATGTCGGATGAACAGCTCATCCCAGTGGGAAACACAGACGGGAATGAACAGAGCCCGTCTGATCATACGGACCTCTCCATTCGGATTGCTTCCGTCTTCCGGAGTTTCTCCTCCCAGGTTTCATTGAGCTCTGCGATGATCTTTTCTGACTCCTGAAAACAGAACAGGGAGACCTATTACTGGACACATCCTTCCAAAACAGTGAAAAGCATGATTTATTATTTAAGTCTGGGCCCTTTGATAATGCTGTTTAAAGTCATCAAAACACTCACTGAATCTTTGTATCTCTAAATCAGACGGTTTAGTGATTTCCTTTTCATGACTCTCTGTACTGGTTAATATTTAATAAGGCAGAATCTGGACACTGAGGGTAAAAACAGGGTTTATGGGTGTTTTTCAGAGATATTAAGGTGAACCTTCAGAATGTAAATACGATGTGCCCGCCCGGGTGTCAAAGCTCAACACCAATAGGATTCGACTCTATTTTTGTCTAATTTTCTGTGTTTGCGTTGGTGTTTGACGTCATTGGGATGACACACAGAACTGGGTACTGTAGTTGCCATGGAAACTGCAGCTCCTCCTGGCAGGTTGGTGCAGTTCTATGAGCTACCTTATCAACAGAGCAAGTGTGTGTGTGTGTGTGTGTGTGTGTGTGTGTGTGTGTGTGTGTGTGTGTGTGTGTGTGTGTGTGTGTGTGTGTGTGTGTGTGTGTGTGTGTGTGTGAGGAAGGCAAGAGAGATATGAAGGTCTGAGGCTGAGGAGATGAGTTTAATTAAAAGTTGGGTGGTGAGGTGACATTAAACAACAAATTAGTTACTATTTTTAAAATTCAATACCTTTGGTATTACAGCTTTAATTCCACATTGGTGTGAATTCACTTTAATGAGTTCCTAAATCAATTTATGCATAAATAAGCATTTTTAAAAATAGGTCAGACCTGCTAAAACCCTAAACTACAATAAATCATCTGTTTTAATCTGATGTTTAAATAAACCGATGTGCCATTAGGTGACGCATCTATGCCAAGGGTTGTTCTTTTTATACCTACAAAATGAGAAGTCCCACTTTGCTCTACATAGTTAAAGCAATTAATGCATACAAAATGTTGATGGCTTCTTTTACAAATCTTTCTGAAAACAATTCATTAGAATTTAAAAACAGGATCCCGCTGGTTAGGCCACATCTCTACAGGATCTGAATGTGTAGAAAAAAACGCCTTCAAACAGCTGTTCGTATCTCTTATTTTGAAAGAGAGGAAAAGTGGGCAGATAAATCAACTGCTGCAGAAATGCAACTGTGATTTTGGTGGTTACGCTTTACCTTAAGTCTTTCAATGGCCTCCTCTCCTCCTGGTGTGGACATGATGCGCTCCTGGATGCTGGTGACCAACTGCAGACCCCCCTGGCTGCAGAGTGCACCAGAGGATGGAGAGGCTGTCAGGGAACCAATAGGGGCTGTGGAGAAATGGCCAGGGCGTTGGTTCTCTGAGGCTATCAAGTATCTATTCTTATTGTTCTGAATGTCTTTGAGGTCTGAGCCAATAAAAAGAGAAAGAGAAGAGGAGAGAACATAGAAGGTGGGGTAGGCCCAGGATAAAAATGGGGGAAATAAAACAGATAAAATGGAGGAACCAAACAACAAATAGAAAGAGAGAGGAGATGTGGGAAAAGAAAAAAAGGACACAGGAGGGGAAAGACCAATGTAAGACACACGTTGTACATCAAAGAGTTCAGACAAACACTCAGTATAACGATCAGCTACAGAAAGCAGCAGTTTTCACTCCAGGTGACTTATTAGTCAGAGAAAAATCACTGGATTCAAACTTCTTAAGAAGAGTTAAGACTCTTTCCTACGTGTTCAACTGAACTGAATTCTTTTGAAACCATGAGTCGTAGCATAAAACAGGATCACGAAGAGCAAAAACTGCAATCGGTTTAATAACTACAGGATGGGAGTGAGACAGCACAGGGGACAGAGATGGACGCATGCTGCCAAAGTCCAGCCTGCAGTCCGGCAACGATCCACTCCGGTCATGCTGCACTTGCAGATGCACACACACACACACTAAAGCTACAGCAGCTTCAATCAGAGCTTCAAGGAAACATAGACTGTGTTCTCCAAGAGCTGAAATAATAATAAGAGGTTTGGGAGTGAGTTTCTTCAGAAATATAACTTTTCCTACACTAAAAAAAACAACAACTATTCAACAGTGTTAAAGTGTTTTACTTAAAAAATCTATAATATTCAAAGGATTTTGCTACAAATATTAGCACAAAAGAACAACAGGTGAGATTACAGCAGAGCGCACACTACCAAATTACTCCAAACAAACTATTAAAGCACTCTAAGTTAGTAAACTGCACGCACATACACACTTTCTGCAGGTACTTAGAAATAGAGAAGTATGCACCTTTCTGTCTGTAGCTCTGAGCCTCACTTTGAGAGCTCAGAAGAGCCATTCTAAAGCTTTGTGCACTGTCACCTGCGATGGATGATTAGTGAAAAGAAAACAATAAAAGCCACCAGCAACAAAAAAAGCTTCAGACAATGAGTGACAGGAAGTGAGACACGGTAAAAATAAACTGTGTGTAAGCGTTGGGGGTGAAGGAGACTGACACACTTGTTAAAATGAGTTTCTGAAAGAGGAAATGTAAAGTCATTTGGGATAAAGTTGGGTTCAAAAAGCTGCCCCACCCCCATCGTCATGAAGAAGAGCGAGCGCAGAGCATGCTAACCCAGTGGCATGCTAGCTCTAAACTAAACAAGCCCTCATTTTGGACATTTTTTCTTAAACGTTTCTCCTTTTGAAGCAACTCCATGCAAAGCTGGCAGCAGATTTCATATAAAGGCAATGGGGGGTCATAAGCAATGTCAGCCTTTTGGGCTAATAGTGAGATACAGTGCATGGCTGGCACACATATACACACATTTGATGCCACTTCCTGGGTAATCATCCCCCATAGGATCAACTGAGGGGAGGCAGGAGAAGATGAGAAGGATCAGAAGTCAGCACCAACAGAGTAGGAGGAAAAGGTTACACAACGGGGGGCTTATTAATGGGGACACTGCTGCATTTTTTTCAATTGAAAGAACTGTGAGTGTTTAACCATCACAGACATATACATGTTTTATTTTTTTGTTTGTTTTGTAAGATTTTTCCCCTGGCAAAAAGCTACAAGGCATTGATGGAGATTAAAATGTCTCCAGCTGGTTGTAACAGAGGACTGATGTTGTATGGCGGCAGACTCACTATCCAGGATGTCTCCCAGTCCCTGAGCGCGGAGCAGCTCCTTCAGTCGAGCCACTTCATCCTTTAGCTCACGAACCAACTTATTATTGGGATCCTCATTGATGACAGCATTGCATTTGATGTTCTTGGCCCGATCAGCGTAGCTAAAATGAAAATAAAGAGCGTGCTTTAATTCTTGAATTCTGGAAATACATATTTTATTCATGTAGTGAATTCTTTTTTGAGGTATGCTTAAAAGGGATTTCTCCTCTGAAGAGGTCCCAGTGCTAAAGCAGAGTCAGAACTTTCCTAGTATCTTTTAATTTGGTTTCCACGGTCAACAGATCTGGTTCCAGCACCAAAAACCTGGAACCATCTCATTCTTGTTGAGCCAGGAAAAGTAAGCAGGTTCAAGAGGACCAGCAACCAATAAAATGTGATCATCATGTTAAAAAATCTCAATTATTTTCACTTTTAATCTGATTAAATTGGGACAAAATACTCAAAGCCTCAAAAGGAGTAAGAAGTCAAATTAGCAGTGGACCACCATGAGCTCAGCTCTTCGTTAATAACCCGCCTCTAGCTCCAGCGCTGGAACCTCTGCTTTATATTTGCTGAATGGAAACCTTACCGAAGTGTACTGAGAGTTTCATCATAGTTGATATCTGCAGGACTGAGGGCAGCAACCATAGCTGTTCTTGAGTTTCCACCTGATAATAAAAGTTAAGTAGAGATGTCATAAACGGAGCAATGAGGATGATTTTAATAATATTGGTAAAATGATTTTAAATGACATGATTCCCACTGTCCTCTGCTAAAATTGTCAATATGTAAGGACTGAAGATGCACCCGGTATCATCTCTACACCAGCCTGAACCAATGGGAGGATCACCGTCGTCTCGTTAGCCTGAAATACAGTCTGCTGACAGCGTTCTTCTTAAATTGGCCGGGTGGTAATGGACACTTGTGCCAGTCATCTTTTATACCATCGCTTCAGTTTCCATTAAACAAAGTGCCCCATTTCTCTAGCAGAAACGAGGATTTCGCTAAACAGCAGAAATAAGCGAAGTATAGGGAAAAGCTCATTTTCATACCGAGGTTCTCCCTCAACAGCCAGGTGAGAACAGAGTCTCTGTAAGGGATGAAGTCGGTCTTTTTCTTTTTCTTGCTCTGCAACAGAGAAAAAGCAACAGCTTCATATCAGGCATGAACAAACGACTGAGGCGAGGCTTGGTGTTTTGACACATGAAAAGATGGAAAGCTGAGCATTATTATGATGAAAGACTTGATGTTCTTTATGCTTCTTTGATTATGGGACTACTTGTGCTCGACATTAAAACACAGCACTGTTGGCGACTGAATGGGAGTTTCTACACCTTTAGCAGACAGTGTCACACTGGTCTCATGGGATGATTTTGAAGTAAATGCTTCACAAGTAGTTTACCTTGCTGGTACAGTTGTCCTGCATAAGAAGGCATTGTGTGGACAAGAGAGGAGAAAACAGAAGGGCAGACATTACAGCATGCCGGGCTACAGACTGCTAGTCTTTGAGAAGGCGGGGTCAAGATGACGAGAGACGGTGTAAAAGGAGGATAGGGAGAAAAACCGCAGCATCAAACGTGAAACTCACCACTTCAGCTAAAGCAGAGATAACCTTTCCTAACGTGGTAAGAGATTTGTTGATGTTTGCTCCCTCCTGCAGCACCACATGAAATGCGTTAGGGTCATATTAAACATTTATCGGATGTTGCAGCAGCTGGTCTCTTACCTTTAGCCGGGTACCTTTAGCTCCCGTGGAATCTGCACGCTCACTTCCTGCCAAGTCTACCAGACTAATTTTACTGACCTGTGGGGAGACGATCAACACATCAGAAGCACTGAGGTGAGATGGGTTACTTACATCTGAACAGAAATATAAGAACATAAATAAATATTTATCAACAGTTTAACTAAAATGTCTTTTTTAAATGAACTAGATTAGTTGAACATCGTCTACTGCTGAGACAACTGAAAATTAAAAGAAATACATTCAGGGAGTGGTCAAAATTACATTTAACTTTATTCATCTTAATTATGTCAACAAAAAGACAAATTTATAAATGTTGGAATTACTGGATTGAACTTGCTAAATAGCAACAAAACACTTGTACATTAATAATAATCAGTAATTTATTGTAACATTAATTATTTCAGCTCAAAGTAATTTAAAAAGTACATTTCAAATGTTAATGCCAACACTTTGAGAGAAGACAAACAAAAACAGGCCAGAGCATCACATCAAATAATTTAAAAGTGTCAATCGGGCAGTAACATCTGATAGCGTGTTTGGAAACAAAAGCCATTGTCTTTAGAACAACAGAGTGATCTTTGTGTCCCCCGAGTCAAAGGAAATGATTAGAGTCGAATCTAAAATAACCTTTTCTTACATTTGCCCTCTTTACTCAGAGCTAAATATAAGCATCCACCTGAAATGTTCCAGATAAACACGAGAATAGGAACATCCAAGAAAGCCAGACCAAAATTAACCTGTGTGACGATGAGGCGTAGGCCCGGTTCCCACGGCAAAGTTTTTAAATTGTCCGACAATTTTCCAAACATGAGAGACAACATGAGATGATGACATAATCACAGATGTACCTCATTTTGGTCCTACAGTGTTTGTTGAGCTGGAAAAAAACTAGACCTATTCCACAAACACACATTCTCTGGTCAGAAGGGAAATCTCTTCAGATTAAACTCAACTTTGGAGTTTGATGTTGAAAGAAAAAAAACGTTATTTATTACTTGTGAGGTTTCAATGAAAAGATAAAACATTGCTTTGTCTCCTGGATGCCATTCTCTTTCTACACCTAACTGAGTGTTTCCCAGCTGTGGGACAAACCCCATTTCCTGCCATAGGTCGTGTATGTGGAGGGAAGTAAGCCCAGTTTCCTGAAATTCCACATCACGTATGAAAACAACATAAGGAAGTCATAAGAAACAGGAAAAACGATGCAAAGAAACCGTCCTAAAGTGTCATTGTCTTTCTCCCCATCAGCTCTGACCTTTTCTGTGGTGAGGTCTGTCTCGTTGTCATGTTTTTTTTGCGTGAAGACGATGGTGAAGACTGCGTGGGATCTGCTGCTGGTCTCGTTCATGTTGGTAGCAGCAACCGTTCTGCAAATGCACACACGGCCTCATAGTTAGAAAACACAAACAAGCAGGGATGTAAAGCATTTTCCAAAACCTTTTAATCAACTGTTTTATTTAATAAGGCTGTGTGACAAAAGCTGACTATTATGTGCACTATCGTTTCTGGGCTTTACACCTATTATGGTGAACTGAGTCCAACGGATTACTTTGTGCAGCGGAGGGGGATAATATTGTGAGGACACCAATCAGAAACACACAAGGCGCACAGAGAAGGATGGCCACGGGGGAGATACGAGCTTTACACGTCACGTTCTAGAAATATGCCCTCTGAGTCAGCACAGAAAGATTAAAGCAGGGTACACTCCTCCCTGCCCGAGCTTTTCTAGCACAGACAGACATGCATACACTAATTCTACAGACACTGATGTTCTTAAAACATTACCTGCAAATTAAAAGAGATTATTTTTATGAAGAACTGTAGATTAGTTTGATGATTAAACTATGAATTATTTATCAATCTAAAGATGTGGATTATCTGATGATCATGCTTTTAGCCCCTCCTCCTCCTTAATCTCAGCATGAACCCCGGTCTTGGCTCACCTGGCCTTATTGCCGGCATCCATTAGGTCAGCAATGTCTGTGTAGGAGGTGACGGCGAGTTTGGACAGGTCTTCCACGTAAGGACCCAGCAGCGGGTGTTCCCGCACTCTGAGGTTCCCTTTGTTCTTGGGATTGAGTAAGTCTCGCACCCGCTCACAGTAGATCTCCATGTAACTGACCTAAAAACAGCAAAATAATCAGTAACGATACTTTAGAGCAGCAATGTCAGGTTGAAAAGGTAAAACAACAAAGCAGGCCTGAATAATGTAGATACACTACTACATATTAACCTCCTGAGACCCAAACTTGTACTTGGTGCGATTTCAAAGAAAATGCATATCTAGCTATAACAGATTAGCTGACTTTCATCAATGGAAACAAAATTACAAAAATTTAAATAAAATAGAAATAAAATTATATAAATACGTTGGCAAATTTCCTTAAAAAATGAGGGAAAACAAAAAATATTCAAATTTTAAGTCAAGATCAAGTGTCTTTAAATAATAACAAAAAGGTCTAAGTGGAAGAGAATGAAATGTCATAGTGCATGGGCCCTAGGAGGTTAAAGGTGCAGTAGGAGAGGTTTTAATGTAGCATCTGATCCCACGTTGCTAGGAATACTTTTCACATATCGATGGCAACCAATAAACTAGAGGTTTGGTCAAAAAACTAATTATTTCTATCGCGTGTGTAATGTACAACCCTGGAAAAACAAAATTTAATTATTGTGACTGTTCTGTTGAAAATGGTTGGATCCTGATCCAATCATTAAACCATCTCTCCACTATCGGTGCATACCCCTCTTCGTGCACGTATCATGTGTTCTTGGCTTGGAGCAGCTGAACAGGAAGCGAAGCCAGAGCTAGCTATATTAGTTAGCATACCAAATTATTATTCAGTTACATAGCCTGGGCGGAAGTAGCGGCGAGGATTTCACCATAGTAAGCCCATTCCTTCCAACTCACAACGTCTCGCTATTGTTTTAGTAGGGACAGAGTCCGGAGAACTCCAGAGCGACACCGGAGTTCTCCACAAGCCTGGAAGACTGTGGCTGCTACTTTGGTACGCTAGATGGTAAATGGCCTGTATTTGTATAGCGCCTTCTTAAGCCCTTTTCAGACAGACATTCTGGAACATTTGCGGACAATTCAATCCGGTTTTTAACCGGAACTGTGATTTCAGACACACCACTTTTGTACCGGAACTTGTCCTTTCGGCTGCGTTCACACAGCAGGGAAAAGTTCCAGATGTCTGACGGCAGTGGGGGGGTGGGGTGGGGAGAATCAGACTCATGTTGAGAAGAAGAAGAAGAAAATATCATTTCTATAGCGCCTCTCAAGATAAAAATCACGATGCGCTTAAGCATAATTCTGCGCACACGAAGACGCATAAGAGACCTGGATGATGAAGCACAATGGTTAAAGGAATCACTGAAGCGGTGTGAAGCGCTCCGTCGCGCGTCTAGGCGGTACCGTAGGAGGCGAGCTGCCGTGGTTCGCCGCATGCTACAGCAGCGGGCTATCTAGGTGCGCACTGCGTCCCCCGGTTCCCTCCTCCTCCCCCTCCCCCTTGTCCGGAACTTTACCTCACCAGTCTGAAGCAGCCACCCTGTCCGTAACAAGTCCGGACCTGTTACTAGGGGCTTCGTCCGGTAAAATTCCGGAACACGTTATCCGGATGTTTGTATTCAGACACAAAGGTCTTACGGACAGAGTCCGGAACATTTCCGTTTTTCATGGCCTGTCTGAAGGGGGCTTTAGGGTTCTACAACCCCCCAAGGTGCTTCAACACAATCAGTTATTCTCCCATTCACACACACATTCACACACTGGTGATGGTGAGCTATAATGTAGCCACAGCTGCCAGTCCTTCTGAGTACCACCAGCAGGCAAAATGGGTTGTGCCTTGCCCAAAAACACAACAGCATCATTCTCTGCCAGGAGCCGGGATCGAACCTGCAACCTTCCAATCCTGGACAACTTGCTCTACCTCTTAAGCTAGCACTGTCCCTCAGGATTTATGCCAGGAAATATGCCAACAGGATAGACAAGGTGGTCTGATTCGCCTGTACTCTGGAGGCGTGGCTTAGGAGGGAGCCTAAAGAAAGGAGACTGGGCCTTTGAATTGTGTTTTTTTCAAAATGTAGCTTACTCGAATGGCTTTTTCCAGGAACACTACCTCAACCTTTAAGACATTAGCCTGTTTGATGGTGTGTTTATTGACAAATCCACAGTGAGGAAAAATCACTCATGAAAGTGAAGTAAAACAAAACCAATTCTAGTGTATTTGAAGCTTTCAGATGTCTGATCTGAGCAGCACACACAACTGGTAAACAACAAATGCAATAAAGAAACATAATAGGTTTAACAACAGGCGCTACGCACTCCAAGGCTCTCTGAAATTTACCTCCACTGAGTACGAGAGCTCCTCTTTGTTGTTGTCCTCATTGATTTTCTCAAAAAGATCTTCACACAGCTGGGAGGCAGAGACAGGGAATGTTAGTAGAAAAAAAAAAGATTTTATTCTGTGGAAGCCGTTAAGCAGATAATATACAAACCATGGGGATAATTCCCTCCTGTCCCTCCTCCTGCTTGCCCATCATAGTGTAGGATTTCCCAGCTCCAGTCTGACCATAAGCAAAAATGCAGACGTTATAGCCCTCGAAGGCATGCGCCAGCATTTCCTTTCCAATGTCATTGTACACAAGGTTCTGTGACGCAAAGCAGGAGTCTTCTGGCTGTAAGATGAGAAACAATGTATTTGAGATTAATGTTGGTCCAAACTAGAGGTACTTCTAACAAATAAGACAATAAAATACTCACAGAGGTGTGTGACCAGTAGGAATAATCAAAACTGAAGGTCTTTGCTGGTTCCTTTGGTGCTTTGGGGTTGAGGATGGCTGTGGAGAAAGAGAAAATGATGCATGAGGTTAAAAACAGAAATACTGACGATTTTATTTCAAAAGCTGCTCAGAGCAAATGTGGACTTTCTTTATTAGTAAATATAATTAACAACAAGTCCAGGGAGAATTAGAAAGTGCAGTGGTCACTTGCATTTATTTTGTTTCCAGCTCTGATCAACAAAGATGGAGACGTGACGACTGCATAAGTAGTAGTTTTTGCTGGGTCTGGTGTGCTTGGAGCACTGTATATAAGTCTTATATATATATACGGTATATAAGTCTTATATATATATACACGGTATATATATATATATATATAATATATATATATATAATATATATATATATATATATATATATATATATATATATATATATATATATATATATAAAGGATCAAATGAGAAGTCCTGACAATACTGCTCATGTTCATGCCCTTCAGAAAAAAGGAGTTTGACCTAAATGAGTTCCTGGATTAAAGCAGCAGTAGCAGCGTATTCGGACACAAACGTCACAAGTTGGTAACACATCTGCCTTTTTTATTCATTTGAGAAGCACAAATGTCTACAATTTTACCAAACCTGCCACCAAACTAATAAATAACAAAACAGCAGAACAGACCACTTCTGCTGCAACACTCCACCTGTTGCATCTGCTGACACAGCGTTTCCACACAGCCGAGCCATTCCCCATGGCCACACACAAATTTCTTAATGAGAAAGAATCTGCTGCCATGCCTGGTACGTCACCTCCCTTCAACCACACTGCTTGGTACCCATGAGACAAATGTCCCAGCTGTCAGACGGAAACAGTGCAGGATGATGAATTATTGTGGGATATTTGTAGACAGGCAAAATGCCCCCGACTTTGAAATGTCTCTTAGACAAACTGTTTTTTTGGTTGGCTTTAATTCTGCTTTTTTTAGTAAAAAGTTTGCTCAAAACCTAGAAACAACCCAGAAACATTATAATAGAGTCTAGCTGAACATGCACAGAGAGTACGTTTGCAGTGCCAACCACAATGCTGGAACTGGCCTTATTATATCCAAATGTTGTGCCTCTATTTGGCAAATAAAAGCCAGGTTTCACTCTTCAATATCAGGCTGCTAGAGAGGCTCTTGCACCGAGATGTGGCTAGCAGAGTGCCTTATGTGCACAAAAGATTTCCGCACACTTATTAATAATGCAGGAGAAGAGAGGAGAGAGTGGGATTGCATATCGTCCTCCATGGCATCATGCTGACAGAAAAGCACAGCCTGTCCTCAAAAACCAGCACGCTAACTGTTTTGCACTATGTGCTTTAAATGGTTATTCCAACTGATTTTGCACAAGCACATGCGCAGGTAGAAATAATGCATTTGTTTTTACAGACGTCTAAACCCTTAAGGCTAAGGTGCACAGCAGCTGCTTCCATATCAGGAACTGGAAAAGGATACAGCAGGACAGGTGGCTAAATAAAGCCCCTTTCACCTCTGACCTCCCTCCAAAGAGAAACTGGAGACAAGCCATGAAGAAATCAAGGGAGGTTCATGTTACAGATGCCCCTGTTCACCTTTCCTGGAACAATCTACAGTCCCTATATTAATGAGGAGACAGCTTTGGCTCAGATCCTGGGTCAGCCAGACTACACAGTAATAAAAAACAGGAAGACAGTGAGACAGCAGCACAAGTGAGACAGGTGGACTGTAAAATGCAGGCTAGGAAACTGATGGGCAGGATAAAACACATTACTGTGAGCTTTCTGAACTAATTCTTGGGACCCTTTTCTTCAGCCCGCTCAGCTCCACGAGGTGAATCACACGGATGTGGTGCATCAGTCACACAGAACAAGACGCTGGCTCATCCATGTTAGTCTTGTACGTAACATGAATCAGATCTTATTTAGAAGACTAGAAAATTAGTTATTGATAAAGATGCATCTAGCACACACATGAAGCTGTGTTCAGTGTTAAACAGCATGACCTCTGAGCATTAAACTTACAATAAATACCACAATCCAACAAGTCACCAAACCCCTTTTCTACATCTGAACCCTAACGCCACGTGTTGAGTTTATGTGGCCGAACCCCAGAGTTCACGCTCTACTTCTAGTAAACACTCCATCAACAGCTCCCATCTACACTTGAAATGGAAGACACATTCTGCTGCCTCATAAACGTCATCAATCTGTCTTCCTCAACCATGGCAACAGGTATAAGACCAGACTCCAGTTGCCATAACAACTCCAACTTGGCACAGAAGGGGAGGATGCAGCATGCTGCGTTCTCTCTTTTCTCATGCCTCAAGCATTTCTCATCACTGCTCTCCACTAATTCAGTTACTGAGAATCCAGGTTTAGACTACTGCTCTTCACGAAATACAGATTTCAAGCTTCACATGGTTAAAGTCCGCGTGTGAAAAGCTTTGGGATTTGTAACTAAAGACATTAAGCTACTTAAACTGTTGGTTTCCATTAACAACAGGAGAACTTTTACTACACAAACCCTTGATAACAGATTAATGGAATGAACAAAAAAGTTAAAAACCCTGAGTCATAAGGAAGGCCACTATATTATTAAGGGCGCATGATATATTGGCATCATCATTGGCTAATGTTGCATATCGTATCAATCTGATGAGTTAAACTTGGTCGGTATTAACAACCAATGTTTATTTCCATCTTACTGACGTTTGTATGATTTTCGGTGGGGAGAGGGGGTTGGTCAGGTGACAGTGTGGTTAAATGCACATGTAAATCAAGCTACAGTGATCCCTCGCTACTTTGCGGTTCGTTTATCGCGGATTCACGACTTCGCAGATTTTTTCTTTGGAGACTTATTCAAGGGAAATTCGCCGATTCACGGTATTTTTCACTGATTCGCGTTTTTTTTCTGTCATGTTTTGGGGTAAGTGTCTAACCCAAGACATACAGAATCAGACTCGAGTAAAAGATAAACAATAATTTTATTTCTTTAATGATGAGGAGAACTGAGGGCGCACTGGTGATCCAGCGGAGGGTAAACCAGGAAGAGGCAGTTCAGCGGAAGCGGAAGTTCAGGGTGAATGTGGAGGGGAGTTGAGCCGGGGTGATATCCAGAGGCGAATTGTAGATTTCCAGGTGGCAGGGTAGACGGATGAGGAGGACGAGGTAACGGAGAGGGAGCGTGAGCACGGTGGAGAGCGGGACGGCAGAGCGGAGTTGGTATCCAGGCAGCGAACCGGTGAGTATCCAGAAGTCTCCAAGACGGGAGCAAATCCGGAGGAGAAGCGAGTCAGGCAGTAGTCAATCATCCGGCGTCGTATCTGGATAACCGTCCTCCTTTTAAAGCCGTCCCGCTGATCAGGCTGATGAGGATCAGCTGCGCTCCCTCTCCTGTTAAATAAATACTGTAAATATGGTGTCCCTACTTCGCAGATTTTCACCTATCGCGGCCAGGTCTGGAACGCATCTACCGCGATAAACGAGGGATCACTGTATTGCAATAATAATTAATGAAGTGCAACTGACTCTGCAACGGTAAAGACTAGGGCTGGGCGATATACCTAAGATCAATATCACGATATATTAAGGATTTCACCTTGATAACGATAAACGGGCGATAACTACATGTATGCGCAGAAACAAAAGTTCTCCACTAGATGGGGCTGTCACTAGGGGTGTCCCGATACATTTTTTTTTTTACTTCCGATACAATACCGATATTGCAGCCTTCAGTATTGACCGATACCGATATCAATCCGATATGATAACAGCACAAATCATACATACTTTTACCGGTTTAGTGGTATGGAATGTATGAAAGGCTTGATCAAGTGATAATATTCAAACAGAAAACAAAATCCAGCAACAGTAAGTATAAAAAACGGACCTTTTTTTTAATTAACCTTTAGTTGCATAAATGTGAACAGCTGAGGGAAGTCACATAAGGAAAAAAAAACACAATACTGTTCACTGATCAACCGCTACAAGTTGAGTGTCTAAAGTTTCCATTTCACATACTGTGAAAATCCTCATGCAAAGTTTTATGATCCTGCGTCAAATGCACGATGAGGTTGGACGTATTAAACTTCCTGGTTCTGTTCCACCACGGGAAACCTGTGCATGACAAGTGTTGCACTGAGCCAAAATGTCTTTCGGACTTGAAGGAAAAATACCACCACATGGCTGACATTGTTCCCTGCTACTTTGCTAGCACACACTGATCAAGTGGACGTTGCATGCTGGATCTGGGCACTCCTGGATAGAATTGCTGTAAGGGAATTTTAAGTGGAACGTACTGCTTATATCGGAGATTGTTGATGCAGTCCGATATAATCCGATACAGACTTTTTGGGCTGATATCAATATCGGAATGGGACATCCCTAGCTGTCACGTGTATTACATTAACTCGTGACTCAAGGTGGGACAGCTTTTTAAGGGACATGAACTTCGCCAACCTACACACATATTTTCATTTTTTTATTGTCAAATTTATGGACATGGGAAAAACGATATTTTGATAACAATACATTTTTGATTGATTGATTGATTTTAGATTTATTTCCAGTAGAGAAACACCTTTTTGTATTGACATTCTTCCGGTAGCCTATAGCATCACACTAATGCTGTCGGGAACAAACAAAGTAAAAGCCAGGTATACACAATGGCCAAACAACAACAATGCTGCAGTACTATGCTGTGTTGTTTTGTGGTGTTACACGTCAGATGCTGGTAAAGGTTGTCAGTCATCCAGGTCATGGAAATCCAAGGGGGTTTGAATGAAGGCAACTCGACTTCTTTGGTTTCTTGAAGACATTACTTCTCATCTGAGAAGCTTTGTCAATTCTGACTGGAATATGGGAGAGCCAAGCTTATAAGCTGTAGTTGTCTATTGTTGCAATAATGCAGCTCTGAATCTTATTCCCAAACAGTTTCAATCTAGGTCACACCTTCTTGCATCTAATCTAGAAAACGATTCCAACACAATAGAGAATAACAACTCCAATGACTACTTTGGGGGTAGAAAGGAGAGGTATTC